GTACGTGTTCACCGCGGAACCCGTACACGTGTCGCCATGGTGAGCAGTATGCATGTGCTCGCCACGGGGCGTGTGCACACACGTGACCTCCACGCCGCACGCAGGCGCGCAACGAGCCCTGTTTTTCAGATGAAACGCCCTTTTGACCTTCTGTTCCCTCTCCTGGCCCATAAAACGCAGCCCAGAGCAGGGACCGCATGGCTGCAGCCCAGGAGGAGGAAACGGGGATTGTAAAATATGAACCCAGCACATTTCGAGGCCGCGCAAAATAACCAAGGGCGCGGAATCGTTTGAAGCGCAGCATTGCCGGCCAGGAGACTCGTGTGTAAAGCGCAATCTTTGCTCGGAGCTCACTGTGCGTTCTGTCAAATTGGCCGACAATCTCGCATGGGCGATGCGGGCCGGGCCCAAGGCGGTGCTCTACGGAAGCCCCAGAAAAGTCCCGAGCACTAGAAAACATTAAATCCTGTCGTTGTAGGTGAAAAGCCAACATTGCTGGGATATAATGACCTCTTGAAACACCAGTCATTTGATTTGTCCAAGAAAGCCCCACCGAGCCTCAAGATGCTTTTCAAGAGTGTGTTAAGTGCAGAAGGAAACGAGGGTAACAGGAGAAACCCACAGCATATGAGGAGACAAGGCTCAAAGGGGTCTTCTCACAGCTTCGGGAGACTCATTTGCTGAACTTGCCTTATTTTGGCCACCTTGAATGAAGTGGGTTTGGGAGCTTCACAAATATGTATAATCCACAAGCCCTTGCCTCCCGAGTGATGGACGTTTTATTTAGGCTACCTATTTTAATTATGTCTCTGGCATATGATGGAATGACAGCAAAAAATATGAAAATATATATAGGCGGAACAAATAGGTTACAGTTAAAAGATACATTTTTGTGGCAAGGCCAAGTGCATACTCTGAGTCTTAAGCTTTGTCAAGAGAGTAAGAGAGCCACTCATGGATGATTATGCTACATCATACACTGCGGAAGCTCGCTGCCGAGCGATCGATTTTACGGGAGTTTCACCGTCCTGCGATTTCCTGATCATGTCTTGATTGATCTCACAGTTTCACGCATTAACTGCGAAACCCGGTCTTCGAGCCATCGACCGTCGGTCGCCAGTGTTCAGTGCGGACGTCGTGGCGCTAGGTTTTTATGTCTTCCCCACGCTCGTAATGTCTGCTCGAGTGTTCGGGGTCGGATGAAGAGAGGCCAGCGCAGTGACTCCATTGCCTCGCCCGTCACCTACTGGCCCCCACTCCACCCCACCTCTAAATCTTCAGCCTGTCCAGCACATTAATCAGCAGCCATCCAGAGATGAATTCCGCCACAGCCGACCGCGCTCCACGAGCTCAATGTATTTTCATCCTTTACGCTTGTAATTAAAGACAGCGATGACGTTTACAAGGCACTGCCGTCACCCTCACTGCCGTCTCTTTGCCGAAACGAATACAGGAATCAAGAGTCTGTGATTCCGGGGAGAAACATTGCAGACGGTGCTCAGATGGGGGAAATCTTTCTACTGACAAGGCAGATGAGCACGCGAGCGAGGGCACGCACACATGTCCGTGCGTGGTTGCACGCGCACGTGTTGATCGCGCATGTGCGCATATGCGTGCGTTTCATTCGGAGAAACGATTGCACGTACGCGCCGACCCGAGTGCTTGCCCGGCGCGCGCGAGTGCGGAAGCGCGCGCACGTGCAGGGGCCAACAGTGCGTGCTGGCGCCACGAGCCTTGGCGCCGCCCGCAAGACGCGCGCCTGGCCCGGCGCCAGCTCTCTCCCGCCCGCAACAGCGGAGTTTAATCTGCAGCCCGAGCCCACATCCCATTCATTCATCTGCTCGCCTTGTCCCCGTTTGGCATTTCCCTGGCGAGCGCCAACTGCACGGGGCGTTATCCGGGCCGCGTAGAACGGCTGCGCGGGAGGAAGCGGAGCTGGACTCGGGCGAGAGCAGGGCTCGCACACAAATCCCCGCGGGGATCGCATTACAACAGATGATTCATCCTGCGCTTCAAAGCATCACAGCGCCGCAGCTGTCCCTCACTCGGAGAGAACACCAGGGCTTTCCTCGTGCTCCTTGCTTCAGCCCCAACAGCCGCAACCCCGCCACCACCACGCCTGCATTCCACTCCGCTGCCCCCCCACTTCACAGCGAAATCACATCTGCCAACCATCTCTCCATCCGGCAGAATGACATTCTTAGCAAAGAGACGTTTTCCTTCTCGTTTTTCGCATGAGATTAGCAAAGAATACTCCAGGCTTGGCGATAGTGAGTGCCACAAAGCAGGACTTGGCTGACTAGAGGAAGAACCTTGGATGAAACTGACATCGTCAGGAATGGCTGCTCACACTCCACAGAGGAGCACGAAGAGCATGAAGAGGAGGAATGACAAGAGTGGTATTCCCTGTGACTTGAACACACGGACCACCACATCATAGCGCGATCAGTCCCTGGGAAACTATCCACTAGTGCTCATGCACAAAAAGGGGGGAAAAAAAATCATAATTTAGTATTTTGATAAATTCCCTAATGTAGTGTTCTTCCCTAAACCCCTAAAGTCTGGAGTTTATGATAAATTGAACCACGATCCAGTAAGTAGTAATGCAATTATTCCTCTAATAGACGACACATCGGTGGTGATGGGCGATTACTGTGCATGCCAGCGCACACACGGGGGTACGAGCGCGCCGGGGTTTTGTGAAGGCCAAGAACATTGTGCCGACCGTGATCAGCGTGCGGGGCACATCGCCACCGCTCCCACACGCCCCGGCAGCCTCGCTCATTTACATTCCTCCACGCGGCACACCGCGCCGTGCCGAACCGCTCAAGCTCTGGCGCACAGCACAGCGATGTCTCCACATACACGCCCTGACGTGGAAATCAATATACTCACTCCTAACGCCGCGTGGCAAGAGTCACATAGCCCAGTTCACGCACGGTTTTCTACATACACTATCTATATAAAAAATATACACTTCTACTGATTTATGATAATTATTCCTTATAACTGTGACTTAATTATGAGTGGGCTTGGGGAGAATACGTCGCCAGAAGGGACGATGGACGGTCAGTGAGAATAATTTCTGGCAGCCAAACCAAAGGAGGGAAAAAGCACTGTGGAGATTGATTGGCTGGCGTGCAGGTGCTGGGCGAATTGTTGCAACGTGAGACCGTGAATGACGGCGGCGACTTCAGTGGATTGATCATGGCTGAGGATGATGATCACGATCATAACTTAAATGGGAACACTTTTTTTCCAATGTCCAGCAAAGGCTGCCAATACGGTGATCCCAGTATATTGCGCTAGCGCTGGCCGCAGCATTGACCTTTGCGATGAGCCTTCAACGGCAACGCTGCACTGTACGAATCAGGCAGGTCACCGATTAGGAGCTACAGGCGCAGTGCTCCAGGTTGAGCACCGGGGAAGTATTCCAACACCGAACTCCACTACTGCCTGCCTCTGCACACACAGCACACGTCCACCGACACAGCTGCCACGAAGGCCACCAGCCTTGCACATCCACCAGTGCCAGCATTGCTATCGAATGACCGCATCATTGTTCAAATGAATATTGGCAGAATCATTAAGGTCATCATGCGCCATTGTTATGGAAACATTTGTGTGTGCCAAATCAGCCACGCAGCCACCGTATTACCCCAATGCATGTATTAACCAAGCTCTGCCGTATAAAATTTCCAGATATTTTCTTCAATTATTATCTCTCAGGAAGTTATGTTAACCCACGCTGTATCGATATTTCACTTTCAACCGTCAAGAAAAAGCCACTAAAACCAACGTTCCCAGATTAATGTAATCGCCATTTTGCAATGAGGACCGAATTTGTAGCTCAATTAAAACCATAGCGTCAAATGCAACTGGCGTGACCAACCTCCGATGGCGCAGGTTGCCTACCTGGCCACATCCGAATCGCTGTGGAAACCGGACCGACATGACAAGATGTGAGCAGAGCGCTCAAACAGAAAGCATCGGGTGAACACTGAGCGGCAAAAGTTGGTTCCAACTTGTAGCACCGCACCAAACCATTTTAGACATTGCTGACAAGAGGTCCAACAGGGCCCTGCGAGGTCTCCATAACAGAGGCTGGGATGAAAGCTACTCTCTGTTTCACGTGGCATACAGTCACCATCGGAATGAGGAACTCGGTTCCATGAAACCATTTGGAACCTCAGCTTCCCACAGTACAAATGTAAAACGGGATCTCATTCTGTGGAGGAACTGTGGTGCTTGGATACAAGCAGACGTCGCCCTTCCCTTTGGCAACAAGCACCCGTGCTGCTGGGTCACGGTGGCCAGGGTCGAGACGTTGACCACGCAGCCCGGGTCCCCCCCCTCTGTGTCTCACGCATGGTGGTCACATCCGTAGCATCACTGCCACTTCCAAGCAATTCACATGCTACGAGACATACGCACGCAAGAGGATTTCTCAGGACCTCTCTCCTTCTGCTGTTCTCCAGCTCCTGGAGACCTCACGTGCACAAGAGGCAGAGTGAGCAGCCTGCTCCACTCTGTGATGTGTGTGGATCAGGCTTGAAAAACCACAGGCGAGGCAAACAACACGTGGCATGAACAGCCAGCAGCATCCTCGCTGTGCATCACGACGACAACCAAACCCACCAGGTGACAGCACTTCTCTTTCGGCTTCTTACCTCGCACTGCTCAGCTTTGGAATCCCTTTCAATCGTCACTTTCTGACGCTCTTACAATAATAACCGTGCTCAATTCAAGAGATGTATTTCCTATATCTAGTGGTGTTGTGCTGTACCACGAGGTGATGTGCTGTATCACGGTGTGCTGTAGCTCATGGCGGTGTGCTGCATCCCGTGGTTGGTGTGCTGTATTATGGTGTTCTGTATCTCGTGGTGATGGTGTGCTGTATGACATGGTGGTGGTGTGATGTATCATGGTGGTGGTGGTGTGATGTATCATGGTGTTCTGTATGACATGGTGGTGGTGGTGTTGGTGTGCTGCACACGCACCTCGTCTTCGGGGTGCTGGCAGTACCCGGGCCACTGCGCCCCGGGGCCGAGTCCGGGGAAGGCGGCGAGCGGAGGCGACGGGAAGGAGGGCAGCCCCAGCGGGGAGCCCCGCGGGCCCTGCGGGGACCCCGGGGCGTGTGGGGGCCCCGCGGGGCCGAGCCTCAGGCCACTCTGAAACCTCTCGACGAGGCATCTCGCCCCCGCGGGGCCCTTCACGCCGTGGCCGCACACCCCGCACAGGGCGGGGGGGGGGCCCGCGTCCCTCTCGTGGTGGGGCCCCCCGGCCTCGCCGCCCGCGGCCGCCGCTGCGGCGCCCCCCCCCATCTCGGCGTGGGACACGTCCAGCAAGAGCCCCTTGAGCTCCACGCCGCCGCCTCCTGCTCCCGCTCCAGAACCTCTCCCGCCGCCGTCAGCCACCCCGCCGAGCAGGCAGGTGAGCAGCAGGTGTGCCGAGGGCAGCCCCCGCACCCCCGCGTCGCCCAGGGCCGCGTCCCGCCGGCACGTGGGGCACGCGAGGCGCCCGTCGCGCCGCCGCCGCGCCTCCAGGCAGGGCCCGCAGAAGGCGTGCAGGCACGGCAGCACCCGCAGCGGGGCCGCCGCCGCCTCCTCCTCCTCCTCCACCGCCTCCGCGGCGGCTGCCTGCCGCCGGGGCCTGGCCGCCGGCCCCCCCGGGCGGACCCCGCCGGGCCCCCCCGGGGCCCTCCGGGCACAGCGGGCAGCGCTGCGACTCCACGGGCCCAGCGCCGAATGCGGCCATGGGCCTCGTCTCGCATGGGGGACGAGCAGGGCCACCCAGCGCCTCGCCTCGCCTCGTCTTCTTCTCTCCTCCTCTTCTCCTTCGTCGTCGTCGTCACGCCCGATGATCGAGCGACGAGGTCGACGGTGTTGGCGTAAACATCCTCCTCCTCATCATCATCAGCAGCACTGTGATCTTCATATCCCCGACCATCACCACCAGCAGCACATTCGCGTCACCGCCGTCGTCGTCCCCGTAACCAACATCATCACCATCACCACCTCAATCACCATCGACCGCCGAGTTCCTCCTCTTCCCCCGCTCATCCGCACCGTCTGGGGCTCGTCGTCGTGGCCTTCCTCCTCCTCCCCGTCTCGACGTCTCTACCGGCGGGCTCACGTCTCGGGCTCCTTGCCCATCCCAAGGCTCCAGCCTCGCTCCTCCTCCTCCACCACCTCCTCCTCGTTCCCCACCACCACCTCCTCCTCCTCCTTCCCCACCACCACCTCCTCCTTCACCTCCTCGATGTCCCAGCGGCAGCGAGACGCCGCTGCTCTGGCAGGAGCTGCTCCGAGCGCCCCGCGGGTTCACTGCGGGTCGCGGGGCCGCCTCGCTCGCTCCCCGCGTCGCGTGGGGCTGTCTCGCACGAAGCGTCTCCCCCCCCCGTCTCCCTCTCACGCCGCGCCTCCTCCCCACCACCACCTCCTCCTCCCCACCTCCTCCTCCTCCCCACCACCTCCTCCTCCTTGCCAGCAGCAGCAGCAGCGCCGCCGCGTCCTCTACGCGTGGGTGCGGGAGCGCGGCCTCCACGCAGCCGCCATGTTACAGGAGCTGTGACGTCAGCGCGCAGCGCGGAGACACGGGGGGACAGAGACACGGGGGGACACGGGGGGACAGAGACAGAGGGAGACACGGGGGGACACGGGGGGATAGAGACACGGGGGGACAGAGACAGAGGGAGACACGGGGGGACACGGGGGGACAGAGACACGGGGGGACACGGGGGGACAGATACACGGGGGGACACGGGGGATAGAGACACGGGGGGACAGAGACAGAGGGAGACACGGGGGGACACGGGGGGACAGAGACACGGGGGGACACGGGGGGACAGAGACACGGGGGGACACGGGGGATAGAGACACGGGGGGACAGAGACAGAGGGAGACACGGGGGGACACGGGGGGACAGAGACACGGGGGAACACGGGGGGACAGAGACACGGGGGGACAGAGACACGGGGGGACACGGGGGGATAGAGACACGGGGGGACAGAGACAGAGGGAGACACGGGGGGACACGGGGGGACAGAGACACGGGGGGACACGGGGGGACAGATACACGGGGGGACACGGGGGGATAGAGACACGGGGGGACAGAGACAGAGGGAGACACGGGGGGACACGGGGGGACAGAGACACGGGGGGACACGGGGGGACAGAGACACGGGGGGACACGGGGGATAGAGACACGGGGGGACAGAGACAGAGGGAGACACGGGGGGACACGGGGGGACAGAGACACGGGGGAACACGGGGGGACAGAGACACGGGGGGACAGAGACACGGGGGGACACGGGGGGATAGAGACACGGGGGGACAGAGACAGAGGGAGACACGGGGGGACACGGGGGGACAGAGACACGGGGGGACACGGGGGGACAGAGACACGGGGGGACACGGGGGGATAGAGACACGGGGGGACAGAGACAGAGGGAGACACGGGGGGACACGGGGGGACAGAGACACGGGGGGACACGGGGGGATAGAGACACGGGGGGACAGAGACAGAGGGAGACACGGGGGGACACGGGGGGACAGAGACACGGGGGGACACGGGGGGACAGAGACACGGGGGGACACGGGGGGATAGAGACACGGGGGGACAGAGACAGAGGGAGACACGGGGGGACACGGGGGGACAGAGACACGGGGGGACACGGGGGGACAAAGACACGGGGGGACACGGGGGGACAGAGACACGGGGGGACACGGGGGGACAGAGACACGGGGGGACAGAGACAGAGGGACAGAGACACGGGGGGACACGGGGGGACAGAGACACGGGGAGACACGGGGGGACACAGGGGGACAGAGACACGGGGGGACAGAGACACGGGGGGATAGAGACAAGGGGGGACATGGGGGGACACAGGGGGACAGAGACACGGGGGGACAGAGACAAGGGGGGATAGAGACAAGGGGGGACATGGGGGGACAGAGACACGGGGGGACAGAGACACGGGGGGACACGGGGGGACAGAGACACGGGGGGACAGAGACACGGGAGGATAGAGACAAGGGGGGACACGGGGGGACAGAGACACGGGGAGACACGGGGGGACAGCGACACGGGGAGACACGGGGGGACAGCGACACGGGGAGACACGGGGGGACAGAGACACGGGGAGACACGGGGGGACAGAGACACGGGGGGATAGAGACAAGGGGGGACACGGGGAGACACGGGGGGATAGGGACACGGGGGGACAGAGACAGAGGGACAGAGACACGGGGGGACAGAGACAGAGGGACAGAGACACGGGGGGACAGAGACACAGGGGGATAGAGACAAGGGGGGGGCACGGGGAGACACGGGGGGATAGAGACACGGAGACACGGGGGGACAGAGACAGAGGGACAGAGGCACGGGGGGACAGAGACAGAGGGACAGAGACACGGAGGGACAGGGAGACACGGGGAGACAGGGAGAGAGACACGGGGGGAGACAGGGGGAGAGATATGAGGAGACGGGAAGAGACGAGGGGAGACGGGAAAGAGACAGGGAGACACAGGGAGATATACGAGAATATGGAGATACCAACACAGGGCGAGATACAGAGACACGGGGAGACAGATGACATTGAGTGGCAGGTGGTGGACAAGGAGCTGGCCGCATGAATCAACGGGACAGCGGAGACAGACGTGGGGACGGAAACGGGGAACACAAAGAGTGTCGGATTCAGAGGAGACACAGCGGGCACAGGTGATAGAGGTCTCAGGTAGTGCGGGGAGACCACGTGGTGTCTCCCCGCACACCTCCCCACTCCACTGTCCTCTCGCACCTCTCGCCCCTCTCCCCTCAAAGACGTCCACGCTCCCGCACGCCGCATCGACAAACACTGCACAACTTCGCGCCTCCACTCATCCCCACAACATCCACCCACGTGCACACCCCTCTCACACCTTGGGTAGCCAGCTTTCCACTGTAGACCAACCCAGACAGATTTCTCCCATCAGCCTAGGTCAGGGATGGGCAATCAAAATAAAAGGAGACTTTTTTTTTAATTCGGTAAAAACTACATTTCAAGAGCTGCGATGCATGTGACGACGAGACGGTGTTCCATGATAACGTCACAGGCTGCCAACCCCAGGCCTAGGTCTATCAAATTGTGCTGTATACGAAATAAAGTTCAACTCAACACCGGTACCAGATCACGAAACAAATCCATTCTTGTCCCCCACAGATGCCAATTCTTGGACAGGTAGCGATCCTGCTCACACCTCCACAAACCCGTCTCACAACCTCCGGCCGCTACCAACACCCCTCTCATCACGGATCATTCTGTTGTCCGAGGCTCGCTCCGCATTGAACCACAACTTCGTCTCGGCGATTGGGGGAGCCGGGCCAGGCCCCCCCGTGTCCGTGAGGCTCGGACGCGATGCGCTCGTGCCGCCGAGCCACCACACGCAGAGCCACCACACGCCGAGCCACACGCGCAGAGCCACCACACGCAGAGCCACACATGCAGAGCCACCACGCGCCGAGCCACCACACGCAGAGCCACACGCGCAGAGCCACCACGCGCCGAGCCACCACACGCCGAGCCACACATGCAGAGCCACCACACGCGCAGAGCCACCACACGCAGAGCCACCACACGCCGAGCCACACACGCAGAGCCACCACACGCAGATCCACACGCCGAGCCACACGCGCAGAGCCACCACACGCAGAGCCACACGCGCAGAGCCACACGCGCAGAGCCACCACACGCAGAGCCACCACACGCAGAGCCACACGCGCAGAGCCACCACGCGCCGAGCCACCACACGCCGAGCCACACATGCAGAGCCACCACACGCAGAGCCACACGCCGAGCCACACGCGCAGAGCCACCACACGCAGAGCCACCACACGCCGAGCCACACACGCAGAGCCACCACACGCAGATCCACACGCCGAGCCACACGCGCAGAGCCACCACACGCAGAGCCACACGCGCAGAGCCACACGCGCAGAGCCACCACACGCAGAGCCACACGCGCAGAGCCACACGCGCAGAGCCACCACACGCAGAGCCACCACACGCAGAGCCACACGCCGAGCCACACGCGCAGAGCCACCACGCGCAGAGCCACCACACGCAGAGCCACACGCGCAGAGCCACCACGAACCTGATGCCGCCTCGCGATCTGTGACCTCAATGACCTTATCTGCAGCAGCTGCTGCTAAATCCACCGCATTAAAGCACGCATCGGAGCGGGGCATCTCTGGCGCTGTGCCAGCCCTGTGACCGACAAGGCGGGGCCCAGTCCCACCGACTTCAGCACGGACGGATCTCGCGTTCTCTCAAGCCATCCTCTTGCACACATTCCCCTTCCTCCAACTACAGGATCCCACCCTCTAAACCAGCGGTTCCAAACATTTTATGGACCCGCAGACCACGCTCAACCCTCATACATTTTTCACGGACCACCATGCAGTAAAAACGTGGTTTAATGAAATAGATCGTATCTGCAGCAGCTCCGCAGACCACTTCCCAGTCTGTGGATCACAGGTTGGGAGCCACTGCGTTACTTACGTGACCGACCCACCCCCCCAACGCACAGACCTGTCACCGCACTCCAAGGACCCACACAAGCTCTCATCTATCCCTTTGTCCGCTTTCCGCTCTTCACGCACGACCACCATCACCACAGGAAGACACGCCGATATAGGTGAACCGTGACCACTTGGTTGTACAACAGGCCGCACAGGGTCACCAGGTGAGGTGTGCAGCGAATCCTGGTCATGCGAACGCACTCTGCTCTACCAGTAATCACAACAGTGGAGACCACACTCGAAATCTGTTGTCGGTGCCCCACAGAGCGATTTTATTGACACACACTCGGCAACCATTCTGCTCCACCTGGGTTTTTTGAGGATCACTCGTCGTGTGGCCATCGTGCTGAATGTGCTGAAGTTAATTAATTCGCTTAACAGGAGCCATGAGTCGTCCAGGCAGGCTGAAATGATGACCCTAAACTGCCCGGGTTTTTCATGACACCAAGTTGCTTGAGGAGGCAGTGAATGCATGAGACCTCATTTAATAAATAAATAAAAGATTCATGTGAACGTTGCCCTTCAATCCCATGCAGAGTGATTAACCACTGCTGTTGGCCTCCGGCGACGGTGCCACGAGCCACAAAGTCCGGTGCATAGGAGGCATGGCCTCCCACCCCACAGATCCCCACGCAGCATCGCTGGACTTGGCTCTCGTCCGCAAAACCCCAGCCCCCCCCCCCCCCCCGTGCCTCCTTTGCGCTTCACGGGGCACACACCCACGCTCTGCAGGGTGCCACAGTGATGGTGTGCAGCATGGTGGCAGTCTCATTTGCGCTGGGTTGGAGGGAATGTGGATGCTGGAGTTCCTGGTGCCCCCGGAGGCCCTGAAACTGGCTGTGGTTTTTTGCGGGCCTCCACCTTTGCCGGGGGCACCAGCTGGTTCCTCTTGATGATCTGTAGGGCCATCTGTGGGTTACCTGCGCACACAGCCACACACGGAGTTTGATCATTCGCGCCATCCAATTAAGACTGTTGAAAGCATTCATGTGTCAAACCCTGTCCGTCTGTAACAGGAACGCATAACTCGCACGTAAGGACGATCCAATCTAATCAACATTTAGTAGAACTGACAAAATTGATCCAAGGGTTTCCCAGAACATGGCGATAAAAAACAGAGCTCAGAGGATACGCTTTGCCAACTAAGGCGATGACGTCACACGTCAAGTGCCCATCTCTCTCCGGATGACATTATGTCGTGTGACAACTTCCTACGACACCACACTATGCGCCGTGTCTCAGAAAGCGAGAGAAAATCCACACATGTGCATGAATTTTTCCCTCGTTTCATATAACAGACCACAATTATCTTCATTGGTGTCTTTTGATATCATTTGCCAGATATCCGGCATGATTTGAAAACTACAAGCTATTCCTATTGTATAGCCGCGTTACACAGGCCGTGTATCCCGGGCTGTATGACGTGAGTTTGAAATTTTGTTTATGAAAAAAAAATACGTTCGAGTGACTTTCTGGAGTGCCGCTAGAGTGCTCTACTCACATCACTGTCACTTTAGTCACTTTAATAGAGCATGCCTGAAGATCGCTTTAAAGTATTTTATTTTCTTTACCAGAGTTTAAAATGAATACTGCACAGCTGGGATATGCAGCCAAAGTACGGATCTGCATGATGAGCATTGTTTGTAATACGTGCTGCAAATTCCGTGAATCGAATCGTCTTGAGCGCTAAAAAGGTGTTCAGAGGCAGTGACGGAGGCCGAGCGCCGCCAACGCCGCCAAACCGCCTCGCGTTACCATTCTGCAGCTCCAGGTAGACGGCGAGGAGGATGGCTTCGGGTGGCACCTCCCTGGGCGGAATGAGCAATGTCGCCTGCGCAGCACAACGCAATTCAGCACAACGCAACACGGCGCAATCAACGCAACGCAGCAAAACGTAAGACAGCACAACAACGTAATTCAACGCAGCAAAACGTAACACAACACAATTCAATAGAATGCAACACAATTCAACCTGGAAAAACATAATTCAACACAAAGCACAACACAATTTAATGCAACACAGCACACCACGTTCCAAAGCAATTCGACACATTCCACCAGCTCACAGCCCATTATGGAGCATGCTCAGCAGCAAGCCACAGGGAGAACGGTGGGGTGTTGATGGTGCTAGTTTTAATATTCTTGGTTGTAAAGATAGTAGCAATTTACTGTAGTACTACTGGTATTTTAGTGGTCGTGTTGATAGTGATGCTAGTGTAGTGGTTGTGTTGGTCGTTATGGTATCGGTACAATATCAGTATTGGTTGTAGTTATGGTGATCGTGTACTGCTAGCAATAATGGTAGTGAATAGTCATCTTGTATTATTAATAATGGGTCTGGCAAAACAACCCCCACCCCCTTGATGGTTGTCAGACTGTCACACTGTCGTGTGTTGTGAGCAATGCCATGGAGGACAGGCTGATGCTAATTGGCTCTTTACCCGAAAAGTGCTCGCAGCCAACAAAGTGGCCAACTGGGGCTATGGACAGGTACACAAGAGATGGTAACCCTTCCACCTTCAACTAAATTAGCAAAAAAACCCAAAAGAGAGATGAAAAGAAGCTTGTGCCAGAGGCCTCAGGGGTACCGGCACCTGCCAAACCCCACAAGAAGGCGGAAGATCGACGCCGACATCAACGAGCGGAGCGGCGCACCAGGCAGTTAAAATGCTACAAAGTCGGCAGAAGGGAGCACAGATGGTGCATTTGTCAACCCAGTTAACCCATAACACCTGGGTCTGTCCCGTGACCTCCTGCCAGCGAGCCTTTGACACTTCACTTGCCCTGAAAGTGCAACTGGCCTGGGCAAAAGCGATGTCGTGATGTCGGCACCACTTATTGACGAATGGCAGCTGTTGTTGTCAGTAGTGCTGGTGGTAGTGTCGGGAAGAATATAATGTTAGTGTTGGATGAGAGGATGGCGTGAGTTTATTGGCAGTGCTGGTCATAAGGGCGGCCGCAGTCATGTGACTAGACAGTTGGCAGTGCCGCTCATGGCACCACGGCAGGACCGACCTGCTGCAGGCAGCGGCGCGCCTTGTCATACTCGCTGCGCAGACAGTACGCACTGCCCAGGTTGAAGAGCATGGTAGCGCGGGCGGCACTCACAGAGCTGGGGTAGCACAAGGGGGCCAGCTTTCCATCTGAGATGGGGGACACGGACGAGAAAACGAATATACACAGCTGCCAAAAAACTGAAACTGCAACGGTGCATTCCATGGGAATGACAGACGTGACACACGCGTTCAATAAACTTACTGTTTTCCATAGGTTCATTCTCTCCCTTGTCGCCACCTGAGGATGGAATAAGAATAATTAGGGTAATGTAAGTGCCAGCAGAGGCTCGTGTTAACAAGAATCAGCTCCCAATAAAAACAAAGACACAAGCACGCGGCCACGCATGCACCTTGCTCGAGTTCTGTGGTGGGGATGCCCAGAGACACGTCCGTCACGTTCTCAGGGTTGAGGTGCGCGATGGCGTCTGAAATTCTGTCCAGCGAAATGAGGGCTTCGGCTGCATACAGGTGGCCGAGGAACCTGCGACGACAACAACTGCTGTAAAGCTTAACTCCGGAAAGCCGCATCGCCGTCACCCCAACCTCACTTGCCCCTGGTCTCGTACCAGGGCAGGAGGACACGTAGCGGCCTGCACCGAGACAACAGAGGCAGACCACGTGCCTATCTGTCGGGCACAAGGCCCTGCCCTGCCACAAGGATATGCCCTCTCAATCTTCCTGAAGACAGAAGAAGAAAAATAAAAGCAAACGAAAGAGAAGCGAGCTGGTACGACCAGCACAAACACAAATGTTGAGTAAGCCCAACCCCTGCTGTCTCTTTATCGGTGCAGCGGCCTCACGTGGACAATATACCCCATTGCAATGACCGTGTTGCTCAGCCATACAAACCTCAATGTTAGACACAGATAGGTGTGAAGCCACCTTGATGAAATGCTTCATGCTTGCTTCTCGTCACAGTTGTTTTGAGTTTATCACAGCTCTTGCTGGAGCCATCAACCCAAGCTCAGTGCCACTGGGTTTTTGTTTTTCTTTTGTTTTCTTATTTTATTAAAATATTTCACCTGGATAATCCCGAGATGGAACGTTTCGTTTGCAACTGCCCAGGCTGTCAACTGGCACGTAAATAGAAACAAATAATGACCTGCATACATTCTAAATCTATAACCTATAGAGTTCGCATTTATACAACAAAACATGCACCCAGTCACACAGGTTATTAATACATAAGTTTACTTAATGTATCGCAATGCACTCTAGCTGTGAGAGTTGCAAATTCTGTGCGCATGAGTTTTAATCAGAGATGTAAATGGCCTGAAACTGGCGGCAAGTCTCCGTGTGTACGGAGATCGGTGTCGGTGGGAAAGCGCGCCTATTTTGGGTTTTACTTTCGGGACACTGAAATGGTTTTTAATCATACATACGTATCTATATTGAACTTCTTTCGCACCGTACTTTGCCAGCCATGGTAATCGGTGCACCGTCATCTCGAATGGTCATGCAATGTTATGGTAACAATGAGACCAACTCGGATCGGACGGAGGGAGAGAGGCTACGGGCGGTGGAGAGCGACTCACTTGAGTGAGCCCGAGAGCTTGGGCTGCTGCAGCAACTTCTGCGCATGCTTGAGGGCGATGAGATTGTCTCCCAGCGCCAGGGCCACGTACGCGCTGCAAGCCAGCACCGAGCATCTGCCGGCAACATGGGCAAGGGTACGCACAAGGATGCACAAGCGCACATAAGCATGCACGGGCACACACAAGTGCACAATATCGTGCAACGATACACATGGGTACAAGAGTACACAAGAACACACGTGCGTATGCACAAGTCAACATGAGAACACATGAGCAAACAAGTATACAAACGTATACAAGCACACGAGTACATGAACACACGTGTGTACTGATGAGCAAAGGAGTAAATTAATGACTGTTTATAGTTAAGGGAGGTAACTGGAGTGCCCGAAGAGATCCCATTCATGTGAGGGGGTACCGCCCAATCCCCGCACAGTTGAAACACGGATTAACTAAATCCACTTGCTACACTCCCATACCCTGGCAAGCCAGAAGGTGGCGACCTCGCAAGCCCAGCCTGTTGGTAGTTCTTCTTGGTTCTTTCGGTAAAGTCACGTAGAAGGGAAGTAATAAAATAATAAAAATAAAACATAATAAAACAATTCTCACGACGTTTCGGCCACAACGCAAGCAGCCGTCCTCAGGTGAAAACCAGGTCCGTCGAGGCGACAGAGTCTGAATGAAACAGCACACGAGCTTGGAGCATATATATAAGCTGGGCGCATTGACAAAGGAATTTGCATATCAAAAGGAATTTAGCATATTTATGGGAAATGCAGGAATGTGATTAGTACTGCATATGCATGTGCATTATGCAGGATTAACAGCATCAAAGGGAGCTGCAGTTACTGCTGCTGCAGCAGTTGCTGCTGCTTCTGCAGTTTCTGCTGCTGCTGCAGTTGCTGCTGCTGCTGCAGTTGCTGCTGCTGCTGCACTTGCTGCTGCTGCTGCACTTGCTGCTGCTGCTGCACTTGCTGCTGCTGCTGCAGTTGCTGCCTTATCCATTTTAATATAACACTATGTATTATTCTACCCACCCTAATGTGTATCATACTGCTATATGTTTACTGTACAATTACGACACCATACATTACTCTGCACACTGCACCATGCCAGTGAGTGGAACGTGGTCTGAAAGTCACCGTAAACGTGAACACAATCAGTTAAGATCCGAAATGGTTTATTACGTCCTTCCAATGATTGCTAAGCCAGAATCCATCTTCTCGGTTGAAATTGTCTCTGTGTTTGTATATGTGGATCGCCTCATGAACGAATCTCTCATGATAGCCAGATGGCTTGCAGAGAACCTCTGTCTTGGAGAAGTCAATGTCATGTGAGCCCACTGAATTGTAACAGTGATCCACATATACAAACACAGAGACAATTTCAACCGAGAAGATGGATTCTGGCTTAGCAATCATTGGAAGGACGTAATAAACCATTTCGGATCTTAACTGATTGTGTTCACGTTTACGGTGACTTTCAGACCACGTTCCACTCACTGGCATGGTGCAGTGTGCAGAGTAATGTATGGTGTCGTAATTGTACAGTAAACATATAGCAGTATGATACACATTAGGGTGGGTAGAATAATACATAGTGTTATATTAAAATGGATAAGGCAGCAACTGCAGCAGCAGCAGCAAGTGCAGCAGCAGCAGCAAGTGCAGCAGCAGCAGCAAGTGCAGCAGCAGCAGCAAGTGCAGCAGCAGCAGCAACTGCAGCAGCAGCAGAAACTGCAGCAGCAGCAGCAACTGCTGCAGCAGCAGTAACTGCAGCTCCCTTTGATGCTGTTAATCCTGCATAATGCACATGCATATGCAGTACTAATCACATTCCTGCATTTCCCATAAATATGCTAAATTCCTTTTGATATGCAAATTCCTTTGTCAATGCGCCCAGCTTATATATATGCTCCAAGCTCGTGTGCTGTTTCATTCAGACTCTGTCGCCTCGACGGACCTGGTTTTCACCTGAGGACGGCTGCTTGCGTTGTGGCCGAAACGTCGTGAGAATTGTTTTATTATGTTTTATTTTTATTATTTTATTACTTCCCTTCTACGTGACTTTACCGAAAGAACCAAGAAGATGAATCCCTGCAGTCACGAAAGCTTTAAATCGAAATTTAAACTGTTGGTAGTTTTCCAAATTTGTGTGATCCATCAACCCTTGCCTCCGCAATGCTGGATTACTGGCGTGCAGCATGACCACCAGCCCCTGGCAAAAGTCGTACCTTAAATTCTCGACTTCTTGCCTCTTGAGCGGAGACGACGGGGGTGCAGAGCGCGAGAGCTCCACCTCGTGGCTCTTACTAGAACGGCACAGAAGTCGCCGCGCAGGGAGCTTGAACAGAGTACTGTATTCACAATAGAACAAAGCTTGCATCCACGGGGTGGGCATTCCAGTTTCAGAGCAAGTTATGACTGGACAGGGTACGTAAAGAGTGACTGAGAAGCGGTGGCTTCTTGTGATTGGCTAAGGGGATTGACCAATCCAGAGAGAGAGCTGTAATGCCCACTCTCGTGGAGGCACAATAGACATATAGGAGAGCAGCCACGCAATGAGCTGGTACCAACAATTGCCCAAGTTCTGCAGTCCTCTATATACTAATATTTTATCGAGCATTTAATGAGTATTTACATGTGGGAGTAAACGTGAAGACCTGGATACAGTCAACAAGTGTAAGGGGGAACTACGATCTCGTACAGATGGGACAGGTGGAGTAGCCCACGTGTGCTCTCCTGCCGTCTCGAGGCGAGCCAGAGAAGGACACTGACGCCCACGGGAAGGCAGCTCCACAAGATTTGTGCATTCCACCAACCCTTGCCTCCAGAGTGCGAGATCATGTGTGTGTTGGCTACATAAGGTGTGAAAGAAGTTCAACAAACATAAAAAGGAGGAACCTGGGAGTTTAGTTCTCTATTAAAATCAGCAACAGTGGTAGGGGCGGCAGCAGCAGCAGCAGTTTCTTCACTGTCAGCAGCAGCAGCAGCAGGGCGAGCTGCTACCATCTCAGTCGAGCGAGTGAAGGCATCGTGATGATGTTCAATGAGCAGCCTCGGAGGCTGAATTCCATTCCTATTTCTAGATTAAGTTGAGTACTATGGGTTAGATAGATACTATAGATTAAGTTGAGTACTATGGGTTAGATAAATACTATAGATTAAGTTGAGTACTATGGGTTAGATAGATACTATAGATTAAGTTGAGTACTATGGGTTACATAGATACTATAGATTAAGTTGAGTACTATGGGTTACATAGATACTATAGATTAAGTTGAGTACTATGGGTTAGATAGATACTATAGATTAAGTTGAGTACTATGGGTTACATAGATACTATAGATTAAGTTGAGTACTATGGGTTAGATAGATACTATAGATTAAGTTGAGTACTATGGGTTACATAGATACTATAGATTAAGTTGAGTACTATGGGTTAGATAGATACTATAGATTAAGTTGAGTACTATGGGTTACATAGATACTATAGATTAAGTTGAGTACTATGGGTTAGATAGATACTATAGATTAAGTTGAGTACTATGGGTTACATAGATACTATAGATTAAGTTGAGTACTATGGGTTAGATAGATACTATAGATTAAGTTGAGTACTATGGGTTACATAGATACTATAGATTAAGTTGAGTACTATGGGTTAGATAGATACTATAGATTAAGTTGAGTACTATGGGTTACATAGATACTATAGATTAAGTTGAGTACTATGGGTTACATAGATACTATAGATTAAGTTGAGTACTATGGGTTACATAGATACTATAGATTAAGTTGAGTACTATGGGTTACATAGATACTATAGATTAAGTTGAGTACTATGGGTTACATAGATACTATAGATTAAGTTGAGTACTATGGGTTACATAGATACTATAGATTAAGTTGAGTACTATGGGTTACATAGATACTATAGATTAAGTTGAGTACTATGGGTTACATAGATACTATAGATTAAGTTGAGTACTATGGGTTACATAGATACTACAGCCATATGAAAGCTAGCACCCGTGAGACTTGAGACTTGGGAGGAAGTAATTGGATAGGAATGAGATACTCTAAATTGAAAGGTGGGTAAACAGAAATAAAGGATAAGATGTTTCGGCAGTGTCAACTCCGCTAGGAGCTCCTGCTACAGATTGAGGTGATAGTACTGTAAGCATTAGAAGCTTTATTCAAATTTTTCATCATTTTTGATACTGGCAAAAAGGTCCCATAGATATGGATAGGCTCTATTAACTGGTCAAGGGGATTTACCAACTACAAGAGGAGGAGCCTCAACTTGGGTGTTCCGTTTAAGCATCGACTCCTCTCTATCAACTTCGGCGGCAGCGGCAGAAGCAGCAGCAGAGTTTCTTCACCATCGACTACTGCTGTTCTGCACTGGGTGGAGAGTGAAAGCTACGATAGGTGAATCAAAGTTAGCAGCCGTAGAACTCCGGTCTCCGAGTGGTCTACCACAAGTTCGAATCTCCTACACGTGCACTGTCCCACCGCCGTAACTGTGATGCGACCAGATCTCGTGACCAAACTTTTCCTGCAGTCGACGTGTGTTGGGCTCTCTTTCATGGGCACCGCATAAAGCGTTGCAGTGAAAGAGCGAATATTTGGTTGCAGAAAAAGAGAATGATAAGCCAGGGAACCCGTTTGAGGTGTGAGTAGAAAGCGTCTATAGCAGGTACCTTGCCCCTTCACTGCTGTCGCTGCCTCCTCCTTCGGGGGCTCCCAACCCCCCGAGATCCCCCGCCAGCGTTCCCCTCCCCTCGCGGTGCTCGTCGGGCAGCAGCAGCAGCAGCGCATTCCGGAGACAGATTCCTGCAAACTCCACGCTGGCCACGGGGATCGCCGCCGACTGCCCATCGGGGCTGCCACGCGCGCACAGCACAAACATTCGTCACACCGCATCCCCACCCGTATCTTCTGAAGAGGAGACTATCTCTTCGATGACTTGCACTTGACATCTATTCTCATGTTGACAAATGAGTGCATCAATCACGCTGAATTCATTTGAAATGAATGTGATTTCTATTTGCTTGACAGTGTTGTACTTATTTTTATATTACTGCTTTTGTCATTTCGGTGACCCAGGTCAAACTTGCAAAGAAGACTCATCCTGGCCTCTTGAGGTCTCACCTCGATAAACTTAATAAACTTGACAATTGAAACGTAAATGCAAAGCTGACGAACCTCGATTCATCATACTCGGGCACAAGACCTCACAGCCGAAGAGTGACGTGCACAATTGGATTCCAGCAGCTCCCTCTGGAAACGTATTTCCTGCCATGCAGGGTAATCATCATCAGCAGCCAAGGTCAATCCACTGCTGAAGGCCTCCCCAAGCCACCACCATCTCTCACTATTCTGCGATGTAATAATCCATACAGCACCTGCCCACGTGATGATTTCATTGCTCCATTTATTCGGTGGACGTCCTCTCAAACGCATTTAATTTCTTGGCTGCCACTGTAGTTATTCTTGACCATCAGCCATCTCTTTTAGTCTTCGTCATAGTTTGAATAGTAATCTGCGCGTGTTCTCCAATCCATGTCTTCCTCTTTCTGTCACTCTCCAGGATCTTCTCCTCCTTTTCGTAAACGACCGCTACTGAAGCCCAAGTTGTATGGAGCAGGTGGCAGGCACTAACTATGACGTGCTCTTGAGGCACATTGGCGCATAGCTTTTCTTTAGAAATTACAGCTTTCCAAAAGCACTTCACCCAATCCGATCTTATGCACCTCATCAGCCATGGCGATCAGGGGCCCTGAAAATGCGAGTGTGGAATGACTGTCCGCATGTTTGCAGGTCCCACCTGCACACAGAGTTCTGTGTGGAATGAGACACGAGGATAATCTTTCGGTGGCAGCCCTGCCCCATCATGGAATGCACGATGCCCTTCTTGTTCTGCAGACTCTTGGCTTCCTGCTCTGAATTCTGTATGGACAGAAACACCACAGCCACCCAACATTGTAATCACTCACTCGAGGCTCCCACACAGGGCCAGAGTATGAATACCTAAGGATGTCAACCAAAGCATGGCACTGCTTGTGTTAGCATTGAAACAAAGCATAAGTGAAGGGACTCCACTCGCTTTGCTGGCGATACCATGTCAAACAAAACTTGTATTTAAACAATGTGCTCTAATTGAATTCAAGGTAAAGCAGTCAAGTTGATTGATGAGTGAGCACTCACAGATTCAGTCGTCACTCGCTCACTGGTAGTCGCCTCATTATCTCTCTTCTATCGCTATTACCATGCTTCGTGTTTCCATTAAACTTTAATCATCGATTCCTCCACCCATGTTGAAGACCCAGCCTACACACGGTTTCATCTCATCCACACCGCTTTCAACCACCACGCTGCACGTCACAACACTGCTCTTTCTGCCTTTTTTCCACACACTGTCATCTCTTTTCCCAAGCCCTTATAACTTTTCTCAATTTAACAATCTCGCTAACTCTTTATCTATTACAACTTCACTTGTGATGTTTGCTGCTGGCCACTTGACATTTAGGGCCGTTGCTTAATAATTAATGGCATTAAAAAAAAGATGCACATCCTCACACACGCACAAGCACATGAGCACACGTACACAGTCACAGACCGATGAGCAAAGTCGCACAGCAAGCAACTGGAACAGGTGAGACACGCGTCCCGAGGTGTCGCGAGCGGGGGCACCCACCCGCTTGCCCACGGCGATGCAGCACTCGGCCAGACGCAACCAGAGGCGCGGGTTACTGTGGTGTGCCGTCACCGCCTCCACCAGGCAGTCGAAGGCCGCCAGTGGCCGCCCTGTCTGCAGCAGGAGGATGCCGCAGTTGTAGAGCAGCTCGTAGCGTCGGTCGGCCATCAGGGTGCAGAGGGGCGGCCCGGAGAGCCGCTTGCCTGAGGGGCCCACTGTATCGACAGCACAGACACAACACAAAACACAACTTGTATACGATACTTAACCAATACACATACATTCAATCTGCAAACGAACCTACACAAAACGTACGCAAAACACCTGACACACCACACACACAAGCCTACACAACATGCACCTAACATGCCTCACACTACGCACGCACAAGACTACACAACACATGGTACGCAACACTCAACATCACGCACGCACAAGACTACACACCACGTGGTACGCAACACACAACATCACGCACACACAAGAGTACACACCACGTGGTACGCAACACACAGCCTCACGCATCACGCACACACAAGACTACACACCACGTGGTACGCAACACACAACATCACGCACGGACAAGACTACACAACACGTGGTATGCAACACACAGCCTCACGCATCACGCACACACAAGACTACACAACACGTGGTATGCAACACACAACATCAAACACCACGCACACACAAGACTACACACCACGTGGTACGCAACACAGCCTCATACATCACACACCCACAAGACGACACACCACATGGTACACAACACACAACATCACGCATCACACACACACAAGACGACACACCACATGGTACACAACACACATCACACACCACGCACACACAAGACTACACAACACGTGGTACGCAACACAACATCACACACCACGCACACACAAACTGGCCGAGGGGCATCCCAAGTGAGCACCTTGCTTGAGTAGCTGGGCACAGGTGTTGTCATTTTCCTGCAGCGCTCGCTTGAAGTAGAACATGGCCATGTGGTGCTTGCCCATGGCGTGGTGGATGCAGCCCAGGTTATTCCAGAACATGCAGCGAACGCACTCTCCTGGACAACGCATAAAGAGCACGTGGAGTCACACCACATCATATCAACCCGCACCTCACAGCAGCAAATGCCACACCACGCCAAGTCACATGATACCAAATCAAATCATTAGTATGTTCGGTATTAATCTTGATTTGAAGCTTTCGTGACAGCAGGAATCCATACTCTTTGGTTCTCTCGGTAAAGTCACGTAAATAAAAAATGTATAGATCGCGACGTTTCGATCGCAACACAAGCAACAAGCAACAGCGTCAGCAGTTCTCCTGCTGTGTTTGTGTCACCTGACGACGGTCGCTTGTGTTGCGATCGAAACGTCGTGGTCTATACATTTTCTATCTACGTGACTTTACCGAGAGAGCCAAAGAGTACGTTCGGTATTTCCACCATTTTTATCGTGCATGGCTATCATGAAGGTGCTACATTTCACAGATATAGTCTGTAGTAGTTTCAGTTTCAAGTTTAAGTGTATTTTGTTTAGCAATGTGGGAACTAACACAAATTGGATAGCCTCATCTGCAAAAGTGAGGGTGCGATGTTACGTGTAATCTCAACTGTGCGGGTAATTTTCTAATTTGGAAAATTTGATCGACTATTTTTGAATGACATCACAGGAATGTTCGCTGTGAAGCAGACGGCACGCGTTTCATGGTGAATGCACCCGCAGTATGAACCAGCATCTCACCCGTCTTGATGAAACCCGGGTGCTCTGTGATGTTGGCGCTATTCAGAAGTTTCACAGCTTTGCGGTAGTTCCCCCTCAGGTACTCAAAGTTGCTCTTCAGGAAGAGCGAAGGGATCGACTGGGAGAAGAAAAAAAACGTTCAGTGTTTTTTCTCTGATTATGGAAACAAATAAATACCAGCAAAACAGGTCATGTGTTGCTTTCGGAGTTCGGCTGCATGTTGAGCATTTCTTCTCACAAGCTTTCACCACACACTACTGTAGGCATCTTGAGGAGTCGCGCTACCCCCCCCCCATAGCGTGTGATGCTCACAGGAGCATGTGCCAAAAGCTCAAGAGAGAAAATACTCCAGACCACGCTTGAATTACGAGAGCTTGCAATAACCTGCGTGCAAAACATTTGACACGTTGACTCACGTTGCCAGACGTGTTCATCACAGACTTTATCTCCCTCTTGCAGGCTTTCAGGGACCTCATTTGGAGATAGGCCCTCACTTTGTACTGGAGATCACACGCACAAAACAGCAGTGGCAGCGCGATGAGATGGATGAGTTAGACGTAAGATGCAAACATGTAATCAGTATCTCAACAGCATTATTACAGTGAACATGTACATATGTCAGTCAAGCTTTCAACTTGCATTAAAACGGTATTTATTAACGATAACATCCCAGAGTAAATAAAAAAAAACCCTAAGATTGTCATGATCTCTATTTCGGCTGGATGGCAGTTTTTTTTCAAGTGTAAATAAATAAATCTCAACAATGTCAATGGTCGGCCAGTAAAGGACTCAGACATTCTTTCAGAAATATAGGGCGGGTGGCCTTGGTGAAATGAGCATGGCATTTACAAATATTGAGAGGCACCCATGTCCATGTCCATGAGCCTTGACGGAAGCAAACTCTACCTGATGTATTTTTGACCGAGTTTGTTCATTGGACGAGGTGTCGGGTTTATGGCTCCCAGCATCCTTGGCGACCTACCGCCAGCACACATTCCAATCGAGCATCAGCATACGGACGTAGACTGCCGCAGCAACATGGCGGGCATCATCATCATCATCGTTGTGTCGGTGCGGTGAGAGGGACGCTGTGCCGTACCTCCACGGCCTTGCCGTTGGCATTGGCGCCACTGCCCTGCGAGCTGAGCTTCTCAAGTACGGCGAGCAGAGGCAGCGCCTTCTCTGCCTGGTGCGTCACGAGGTAAAGGTCCATGAGCAGAAAGCTCACCGCACGCGCAAATCGCTCCTCTGCACGCCCCGCACGTGTAAACACGCACACACACACAGTAGCGCACACAGCAATGACATTTGGAGGGGGCCAAATAGTTTTTCTACCCAGAGAAATAAGTGGGAATGTATTCGTCAATTAGAATTGTGAGTTTTAGATTTAGGATGGCGACGAGGCCCAGGGCTAGCGCGTTCACCGCTTGTTGCGGAGGTTCACGGTTCGAATTCAGCGGCTGCCCTGGTGAATACTGTGGGTGTAATAACCTTGATACTACTATGCTCTGTCTGACTCACAGTGCCCGTTAAAGATCCCCTGTTATTCCAAAGCTTAGGCCATTGTGTGCTTCAAAATAAAATGTGGCCACATTCGAAAATGACCCGCATATTAAGCAATTTGGATTACACAAAGCAGTAATAATTTCCCCCTACTGGCAGACTAATGCCCCTGGTCCCTCGTCACTATCGTGAACACAAATTATTTCTTTGAATTAGAATATATTGGAGATGAAACTCATTCTGGTTTTGCGTTATTTCCTCATGAAACAAAATAAACTTAAACTGAGACATTTTGGAGTTTTAAGGACAATTTCAGATCTTTTTGGAATGTTCTGGTTTTCCAATGTGTGGTTTTCCAAAAATTTCCAATTTGTTTTTATACAAAAAAATAACTTGAGCTAAAGATAGTGGCGTCACCCAATGCCAGGTGATGCCACTTTTGGTGGGAAAGTGACATTGTATGAGTGAGACCACATTGTATGAGTGAGACCACATTCCTAAGCCACAACATGAGACATGAGTCACGGTGCAACTGCCTACAGCTGAAGCGGCTATCACCTGGGATTGTTACTATTTCTCAGAGCGATGTACAATGAGAGAAGCCTTGTCTTGGTGTCACAGAAATGTCGTGAAGTGCGGTGGGTTGAGAGATTTCCAGGAAAATTGTCCTGTGAAGGTTGCGAATGGTTCGAGGCCTGGGTGAGGGCTCACCGAATGGCTCAATGAACTGGTAGAGGCGCTCCACGACGCCAATGGCCTGGTGGTACTGCTTGAAATGGCAGAGCAGCACGGCCTGGTTATAGAGCAGCGTGCCATTCTCTACGTCCTCCAGCCCATCCATCTCTTCCGCTGTCGAGTGAACCTGGCGAGTGGCACATTGGGCGTGGGAGTGAGCACGCCTCGGCCTCACGTTTCACTTTTCGCACGCCGGGGCGCAGTGACGCTTGGGATCAGCCGCACCGTAAACTCGGAAGTACGGGTTATGCAGCATCACAGCATCTATGATAGCACGTTACAAGCATGTCCATATCCCTGATCTCTCTTGTGTACAGCTGGATACTCACAACTTAAAACTCTATGGGCATAATATGACTTTGAAACCCCCCCGCCCACCTCCTACGCATTTCCCATGAATATGCTAAATTCCTCTTGATATGCACATTCTTTTGTTAAGGCTCTCTTCTTCTTCCACCTCCAACTCAGCTTATATATAAGCTCCTAGCTTGGCAGTGTCTCATTCTTCACCTGAAGACGGCTGCTTGCGTTGTAGCCGAAACGTCGTGAGAATTATTTGATTTTATTATGTTTTATTTTTATTATTTTATTACTTCCCTTCTACGTGACTTTACCGAAAGAACCAAGAAGAAGGTTAAAACTCTACCTCCAGCTTTAGCCAAAAATGGATTATGTTTATAGAGAGTGGATTGCTTCAATGCCTCGGGTGCATTTTCAGAGTTCACAGTGGGTCGCTATAGCCCATTGATAACATGGCTCAGACATACTGCGTTAGAAGCTTGCTTATGAGGTTTGCGGTTAGAATTCAGCAGGCCTCCTTAATACTGCGAGTGTATTAACCATAAGTATGCACGGTCATCTTCACAGTGGATATTAAAGATCATGTGATGTCCTTACAATTAGAGTATGCCATTGTATTACGTATGTATGTTGAACTTCTTTTGCACCGTAGGTAACCAATAATGCTAATTGGAGGTGCGTCATGGTCCACATTTTTTTAATTAGAAAAATCTTCGAGAAAATGTCTTAATCGGGAAACAAACAATCATCGCTCCTTACTGTAAAAACTTAGGACACTCCTGAGACTCATTGAGGCTTTCCCAGTTAATCAGTAAAATAATTATAATATCTGTGAGTGTCCCTGATTAGGAACTGGAGGTTGGCTGCACAAGCCAACAGCAGTGGAAGCGTGTGAACAACCTGGGAACTAAAACAAGAGGCACAGCAGTTCCATGGCGATGCTGTCTGTCAAGCTCAGAGTCAATGCTTGAGGTTAGACCCCGAGTTTGTTCCTTTCGAACACGTGGACGGTGCCGCATGCATGACCAACGTCCCGGGTTGCGGTGGGCCCTCACCTGCATGCGAACCTGCGCAAGGCTGTGGCGGAGGTCGTCGGTGGCTGTCTGGCCACTGCGGTAGAACTCGGCCACGGAGCGGTTCAGCTGCACTTTGTGATCGTCTCGCCGCAGCTCGCCGAGCGAGGAGAGCTGGGCCAGGCAGCTGTCGTACTGCCCAACCTGCCCCAGGAAGACACAAGCCACGGCTCGATCCGACGTAGATCTCGAACCCCAACCAACACCATGTAGACAAAACGCGACGTGAACACCCAGCCAATAAGGATAACGATGTTGGTGATGTTACTTCCCTGTAATTTTGTGCTACTGGAGTTATCTCATGAGAGAAATACAATCAATTCGGATTTGTCGCAGAGCACTGCAAACCCTTCATGTTAGGGAACAGCCCACTATGGTGGATGATATCACAGAGCTCCCCACAAGTTCCCTTCGAGTAGCCTCTGGTCCACATAGTAGGGCGCGCCATTTTCCACTCGTGCTACAAATCAGAGTCGTGTCCACCGCATGACTGTAAACATTGTTTTATGATCAGAGCTAGAATTTGGCCAAGAGTATTGGGGATTTTTAAAATGTAGATTGTTTTTGCGTGCAGTCACGATTAACTGTGCTGAGACCATCAACTCAATGCACACGAGGACCAGGTTGAATCACGTACAGCTAAACCCTGGATCCGAACCCAGCATCCCAGCGGTACCAGCTCGGCGGTCTAACTTCTGGGTCACCCGGCGACCTTGGTCAGTCACGACTGTAACACTGCACACACCGAGTGGATTTGACTTCGAAGAGCAGCAGGACGCGAGCCTTCGACAGACACTGCACCACCGAGCAGCTGGTGGTGTACGACGACTCGTGACCGCGCAGTGACGCTTCCGATGTGGGAATCTGCTCTACCTCGAAGGCGTCGAGCGCCTTCTTGGCCAGATCCTTCTCCTGGCTGCTGATCCCCGAGGAGCAGCTGGTCCCGTCAGAGCTCGCATCTCCGCTTCGCTCTGCGTTCAAGGGCAGAGGGTTGACAAGTGACACGTGATGACGGCGGTAGTTGTCGTGGTGATAGTGGTGGTTGTGATGACGATGAGAGGTTGTGTATAATGGTAGTGGTTGTAATGAGTGTAGACGTGGTTGTGATGATTGTGGAGTGATGATGACGATAGTGATGATGGTAGTGGTTGTCTTAACGGTGGTAGTGATGATCAACGTTTAATCGTTTAACAAGATGAGCATCCAAGATGATGATGATCGTGATGGTAAAACAATATTTAATGATGGCGATGAATAGGTAAAATGATGGCGATGACAGTGTTGACGGTGATGCTGTTGAAAGTGATGCCTCTGGTAGTGATGTTGCAAATGATAAAAACTACCATGACTATCACAACCATCATAATCACTACAACCATCATCACAACCATTATTCTCATCATCATGGTGATTATGTTTATATTGACGATGATGGTAACGATGTTGATAAGCTGGTAACCATGCGCACGCTGCTTCCGTGAGACCTCACCTCCTGAGTCAGCCATGTGGTGATCTGCAGACAGCGGGTAGCTTGAGAGAATTGCTGCTGGAGTAAGATACGTTATTAATGACCTCCTTCTTGTTTAACGTCGAAGTGACAGCTTGGCGATGTTAGGGTAATTGTATTGCTGAAGTGATGGTGGCGATTATTGCATTTATAATGGTAATGATGTTAGAGATGTAGTCACAGTCGTATGTATTATGTAAATAGTATTGATGATACTGTCAATGTGGGTGATGTAGTAATGGTATTAATTAGGTAAAGATGATCTAGAGAAGCTGTAATGTTGATGTTGTTGATGTCAATATCGGTGAAGTAGTGAATGACATTGGATGCTGATGAAAGTGATTGATGGAGTGACAATCGAAAGTTGCTGATGATTGTGTGATTATATAGTGATGTTGCTGTGACGATGTAGACTGAGTGCTGCGACGATGTGGATTGGGAGTTGTGATGATGTAGACTGAGTGCTGTGATGATGTAGACTGAGTGTTGTGATGATGTAGACTGAGTGCTGTGATGATGTAGACTGAGTGCTGTGATGATGTAGACTGAGTGCTGTGACGATGTAGACTGAGTGCTGTGATGATGTAGACTGAGTGCTGTGATGATGTAGACTGAGTGTTGTGACGATGTAGACTGAGTGCTGTGATGATGTAGACTGAGTGTTGTGACGATGTAGACTGAGTGCTGTGATGATGTAGACTGAGTGTTGTGATGATGTAGACTGCGTGCTGTGATGATGTAGACTGAGTGCTGTGATGATGTAGACTGAGTGCTGTGATGATGTAGACTGAGTGCTGTGATGATGTAGACAGAGTGTTGTGATGATGTAGACTGAGTGCTGTGATGATGTAGACTGAGTGCTGTGATGATGTAGACTGAGTGTTGTGATGATGTAGACTGAGTGCTGTGACGATGTAGACTGAGTGCTGTGATGATGTAGACTGAGTGTTGTGATGATGTAGACTGAGTGCTGTGACGATGTAGACTGAGTGCTGTGACGATGTAGACTGAGTGCTGTGACGATGTGGATTGGGAGTTGTGATGATGTAGACTGAGTGTTGTGACGATGTAGACTGAGTGCTGTGACAATGAAGACTGAGTGTTGTGACGATGAAGAGAGGCGTCTAACGAGGAACCCCCGAGTTCAAACGCAGGCCTCGAGCTGTACCCACGATTCATCGAGTCGCTTCCGCCCTGGACTCCCTGCCGGAAGTGGATGAGTCCACGAATCGCGGGGGGGGGAGGGCGGGTCAGACGTCTCAGTCAACAGCTGTCTGACCGCTCGCATGTCTGTTCCTACAATTATTTCTTTATCTTTTAGTAATATTTGTAATTCGTGTAATGAATGCCGAATTATCCCGGCGTTGCCCAACACGAGTGTCAGGGTCACCACGACCCTCCCCCCAGACTTGGGCGTCACTTGGTTCAGTCCGAACCCCGATTCACATTTCCCAGCTTTGATGAGCCCCGCCTCTTATTGGCTGAACCGCGCGCGCGCCTCTCCGAGCGAGCGCTGGTGTGATTGGTTACGGGGACGCTTCCGGCCACGGTCTCAGCCAATCAGACGGCAGGACGCGCCGCCCCGTGCGGATGTGCGGTGGGAAATACGAGACACGTGGAGCGGAAGCGACGAGGTGGGGGTCAGGCGTGATGGCATTGCCATTCACCTCGTCACCATCGCTCCCCACATCAACACCACCACATTCAACATCAACACCACCACATTCAACATCAACACCACCACATTCAACATCAACACCACCACATTCAACATCAACACCACCACATTCAACATCAACACCACCAGCAACACAACTAACATTATTACTATCATCACCAGCAAAGTTAACGTTACAATCAACATCACCACCAGAATTAACACCATCACAACAAATATCAACATCAGTGTCAACATCAGCTTCTTCATCACAAGTATTAAAGACACCCTCACGTCCGACATTAATAGCATTAGAGTCAACACCACCACGAGCATTGACATCGTCACAACCAACCGCACCACCATCACCATTAATAACACTGACGCCACCATCGTCACCGAGTGTTGAGGGAAACACGCCGCAGATTTCTCGCCCCTTCTCCGACCGCTGTCCCGAGGTTGGTGCCAGCAGAATTGTGACTTCTGGGTGCCTCTGTCCCTGCTCTGGGTGACCGGGCCCCGTGCGCTGAGCCTGTGCCGTCATCATCACTCGTCCTTTAACTTGAGGCCTCGCGCTGCCCAGCAATTAAAATCTCGCCCAATATTTCCCGGGTCGCTGGCAGAGTGGGGTCGGTTGCACGCGACTCGTAGCCAATACCACCACAAGCATGGCACAGCAAATACGCCCTGGTGGTCGACTGGATGGATGAGGGTGCACCACCACTATTAGCTACCTCAGCCATAGCTTGGCGTGAAGTATACTGGATGTGGTGTGCTGCGGCTGTGCTCGCTGCAGGAGGCGATGCGTGGTGGTCGTGCGTGCGGGCGCCCCGCCGGTGCTGGCTGGGTGCTACTGGGCGCTGTTGTACTGCGCGTGGCACTGCTGCTGTACGGAGAGTACCAGGACCGCACGCACCGAGTCAAGTTCACAGACGTCGACTACCGCGTCTTCACGGACGCGGCGCGCTACGTGGCGCAGGTGAGAGACGCGGCCGTGGCACGCTCAGAAACGGGGTCGTTCACCAAGTCGATGGAAAGGTGCGCAAAGAACCACGGGCAGATGCATGCGTGGAGACGGGAAGAGAAACACGTGGATTAGAGAACACAGATTAAGAGCGTCACCCAAACTACTGGATTAGTTAATTTATTAGGTAGAGCCCTGTGAGCCATGCGGCTCTTAAGTCGGGTGCAACCGCAACAAACCAAATATGAACACAAAAACGTATCAAAACGTTGTGTGCAAAAATCCCAATGTTGTGCAAGTCAACAATAACAATCATAAGACAATTTAGATTAACCATATGTTTTCGAATCACCAAAATAAAGCTATAAAAACAATGTAACAACAGTAATCATTGGAACTGTGATTAAAAATTTAATAATAAACGATAAACAAAGCACGTACGACCAAACTTGCAGCCATAGCTGGCAGCACGACACTCCCACATCCCTGCAACCCTGTTGTGTTCGGTCGAGGGATCGGATCGTGGGGAGGTCGGCGACAGAGGCGGCACTCGTGCTAACAAGGAGATGGAGGGGAAATTGTGTTGTGTTACTTTCGCTTTATTGCACGAAAAAAGGTGAGTGAGCAGGACAAGTTGTTTGAAGGAATGGACGATGGCCAAAGAAGAATAACAGTGGCAGCCAAAGAATGGAATGTGGCCGAGAGGAACGGCCACCTAGGAGATGGAACGATGAAATCCGTGCACGCGCAGACAGCACCGAAAGTGCCATCGGGTGGAGCGCGCTTTTTCACTTCGCCGCATCCCGGAACGTCTCGGCCCCCGTGAATAACCGGAGCCGTCTCCTCTCCCTTCCGCTCCCTCGCCTCTCCCTCTCCTCTCCCTCTCCTCTCCCTTCCGCTCCCTCGCCACGTCGCCGAGTCGCGGCGTCGCGTCCCACCGGTGCCGTTCGTGTCCCCGCAGGGCGAGTCTCCGTACCGGCGGGAGACCTACCGCTACACGCCACTGCTGGCCTGGTTGCTGCTGCCCAACGCGCTGCTGGCGGAGTCCTTCGGCAAGCTCCTGTTCGCCGCGTGCGACGTGGCCGCGGGGTGGCTGGCGCTCGGCATGCTGCCCGCCGGCGTGTCGCGGTCGGGCCTGGCCGCCGCCGCCGCCTGCTGGCTGCTGAATCCCATTCCGGCCGCCGTGTCGTGCCGCGGCAACGCAGAGTCCGTGCTGGCGCTGCTCGTGCTGGCCACGCTGCGGAGCCTGCGCCGGGGCCACGTGGCCACGGCGGGCCTCCTTCACGGCGTGGCGGCGCACGCCAAAATCTACCCCGTCATCTACACGCTGCCCATCGTGCTCAACCTCGCCTCGGCCTCCGAGTTCGCACGGGGCCGGCGCGAGCGGCGGCAGTCGCCGCCGCCGGGGCCGGGAAAGCGGCTCGTGCGCAACACCGTGCTGGCGGTGGAGGCGGCGCTGCGGAGCAAGGACGTCTGGACGTTCGTGCTGACATCGGCTTCTGTGTTTGCGGCGATGAGCGCGTTTTTCTTCTACGTGTACGTTTGCGTGAGCTGTGTGCGGGCGCTGAGAGGGTGCTAATCCATGCACTCGAGGCCCATGGCGATGGATAACACCATCTGGGCTCTCAGAGGAGCCAAGAGACGTGGTCTCTGCTAGAAAAAAGGGCTATTCCCCGAAATTTGAGCTGTTATTTATATTATCCTCTAACATTGTGTAATTGACGATTGTGTTATTTGCGCACGCCTGCCAACGGCGTCACAATCAACTTTGTTAATTTATTTCTGTAACAACTCAATGACTTGCCTCCATCGCGAGTAGATGTGTAAACTGTTGTCGGTCTTTTTGTCCTCGCTCAGCACAGAAGCTCCTGGCCAGGTCTAAGGTGGTGTTGATCTCGATTGTATTACGCCCACAGGCCGGCAAATGCGGCATAGCCACCGGGGTCACCCCCTGCGGGGCGACGAGTATCTCTGTCGCCCTGCAATGGGGATGGTGCTGCTGCTGCTGCGTGAGCGCGCCCTGCCAGTGCGCGTGTCCTGGCGCCACCGCTGTGACACTGCCCTCTGCTCCGCACCCGCAGTTACGGCTGGGAGTTCGTGGAGCAGACGTACCTGTACCACGTGACACGGCGAGACACGCGCCACAACTTCTCCCCGTACTTCTACGCGCTGTACCTGGCCGGCGAGTCGGGCCGCGCGGGCGCCATGGGGCTGGCTGCGTTCGCGCCGCAGGCGGCGGTGCTGGCGGCCGCCAGTCTCCGCTACGCAGGCGACCTCCCCTTCTGCTGCTTCGTGGTCACGGTCGCCTTCGTGGCCTTCAACAAGGTGTGCACATCGCAGTACTTCCTGTGGTACCTGTGCCTGCTGCCCCCTGTGCTGCCCTCGCTGGCGCTGCCCTGGCGGAGGGGGCTGGCGTTACTCGCTGCGTGGCTTGCCGGGCAGGCCCTGTGGCTACTGCCCGCGTATCTGCTCGAGTTCGAGGGGTGGAACGTGTTCCTCTCCATCTGGGCGGCCGGGCTGCTCTTCCTCGTCATCAACTGCGTCGTCCTGCAGCAGATCATCGTGCACTACCGCCCGCCGCGCCCGGCGCACAACCTCAAGAACAGCTGAAGAGTCGACAGGACGCGTGGCTTTTGTAACGTCTTTATGGCAACTGAAACAACGCGAAACTGCCTGCATTTGTAAATATTTTCATAAAGGGATAAAATCATGTGCAGTCGTCTCTTGTTACACGTACTTATCCAGCGACGAGGGGTGTTGCCGGATTGAAACACCAGCGTCTAGGCACCAATAACACCACTGATCACAAGCCTAAAGGACCAACACTCGTTCTAAGCACCAACATTACAAATGGACCCCATTAATACTTGGACGCTACTTAATACTGTAGGACTGTAATAGCTGGGACAACACCCAATGTGAGTGTATATGTCTGTGTGCGTGTGTGTATTGTGTGTGTGTTGTGTGTGGTGAGCGGTCGTACAGCGATTGGGGCGCTGCACTATAAACCTGGAGACCCGAGTTCGATTCCGCTCTTGGTCAACACCAGTGACGATGATCTGAACCGGTCCTGGGCCTCCCCTAGGTCAACTCGGCCTCAAATTATTACATCGCCACTGGGTAGACAGGTGGCTGGGCGTGGTGCTGGCCATCCACCCCTCGTGTGCCGTGCCCACTAACAGCACTTGCGTTATTGTTGTGTGTGTGTGCCTGTTGTCAGTGTGAGTATATGCGCATCACTACAGGAAGAAGGTGATATCGAATAAGCGCTACTTAGCTGTGTTTAGGGTTGGAGGTTGCTGGGCATGGTTTTGATCAAATGGGGCCCTTGTCAGGAGTAAGTGTGCACACGGCCTAATGAGCCTTGCAAGCAACGCGACAGGACAGCTGGCAGAACAAGGCCTGTGGGTGCCTCAGAGTTTTGGGGCTCATCTGTTGCGGTTATGAGTTGAGAGTGAGGGGTAATGCTTAAAGTCTAGAGAAGAGGAGGAGGGAGCTTGGGTTTCGTGAGTCAGGGCATTACGAGTCCCGGATTGAATGGAGTGGCTTTGAGTCCAGGATGGGGGCTGGACAGTGGGTAATAGCGGTTGGGGTTGGATTTGGGATTGTAGTCATTATTGAGGTTGGAGTCGTGGTTGGGGTTGTATTTGATCGTTGTGGTGTCTCCACGTGAGACTCGGGGCTCTCTCGCTCTCCCGCCCTTGACCTCGTCGCTACGCACTCGGCTCATTTCCCGAGCTGGGGCAGGAGGTGGCTCGTCACGGGGATGTCGGCAAAGAAGTTTAGTGCGGCGACGCTGGGCGGCGCTGCGGGGGCACTGACGTGGGCCCGACGCTGCATCATGCACTCGGTGAGAACCAGCCGCATGTCCCTGGTGGCATCGCCACGCAGCGCCAGCACCGCCCAGATGTGCTCCTCTCTATGGGCAGAGGTCAGGGGTCACGGAGGATCTTTCACGACCACATTGACCTCGCACGTCAACGATGCGGCCGTGATTTTCTAATGTACGCGTTGACGGAGCGACCCGCGTGTCGAACGTATACTTTGGTTTGTGGTGAGGAGATGGTGAGTAAATATTGGGCCGTGCGGGATTGGGGCCGCGTGCGTGGGGCCTCACCGCACGTCGGGGTATTTGTGAAGGAGGCCCGAGATCTCCAGGCACAGCATGGAGGTGTCCTTGAGGCGCACGAGCTCGGCCAAGGCCGGGATGACGTCACTCAGCGAATCCTCACTCAGTGGGCCCTGCACACCCATGATCGCACGAGAGAACGTGCACGCAGGGAGGACACACAGACGGGCGTACACACGCACAGACGGGCGTACACACGCACAGACGGGCGTACACACGCACAGACGGGCGTACACACGCACAGACGGGCGTACACACGCACAGACAGGCATACACACGCACAGGCGTGTGGCACACTCCGGAATATGCTCAAAATTCCTTGTGTAGCCCTGTATGCTATTGAGCAAAGTATTAGCGAGCACCTATTAAGACCGATGCGGTGCACGAAGGTGGGGCGTCCAGCACGTGAAGAAGCAGGTGTGGCAGGCTCGCTGCTCGCAGGTCACGGCACCCCTGCTCCCCGTTGGCCCACGCAGACAAATAACCCCCGCATCGCCTTCACAGATATTGGGACAAGTGCTGTTAGCGAGCACCTATGAAGGCCGTGCCGGCCTTCATATGTCTCCCTAGTGGCGAAGTGTACACATCACACCAGGTACTCATTTGAGGCTGAGTTGACCTAGGGGAGGCCCAGGACCAGTTCAGATAATCGTCACCGGTGTTGGCCGTGAGCGGGAATCTAATTCGAGTCGCCGGGTTCGTAGCGCAGCGTAGCGCTGACCGCTCCCCACGCGCGCGACCTCTGCAGAGCTCAAGCAACGACTGAGACGCTCACGTGGGAGAGCTTCTGGAAGAGCTGCTTCAGCTGGCGCGCCTCCCACTCCATCTTCTCGGCGGCCTCGCGCCGCTCCTCGCAGCCCTTGAAGGAGACGCGGCGCTGCACGGCGGCGCGCACGAACTCGCTGACGAGTCGGCGGTGAGCGCGCTCCGTCAGCTCCTGCGGGAGCCACGGAGATCGGGTGCGGGCATCGAGTGGACAACGCGGGGACCCACAGGGATGTGCAGGAATGCATGGGGACACGAGGGACACTATGGAGACGCATGGTTCCATGGGAATCCAGAGGGACAGACAACGACATTAATGAAGCAGTCTAAAATGAGAGTTGAAGGGGGTCGTTCTGAAAGGTTTGTGCACGTGAGTGCGGAAGCGCGATAGAGGGAGTGGTCGCATGTGCGTGATGCTGTGTGGAAGTCACATGGCCTGTCGCTCCACACAAAGATTTGGGTCATCTTGGCGACAGTTATGCTATGCTTGCGAAACGTGGACCCCTCGCATGGAACATCTGCGCCAGGTTTACAGATCCTTGAAATATCTGAACACACTCCCATTGGTGAGCTCCGACAGGCAAGGCATTGGCTGGGTAAGCAGCCCCCATGTCCAACCACGGCATGCTCAAGCAGTTTTTGTTTGGCTGGATAGAGAGGGGGCTAAACGACTACGAAACAGACTAGAAAAGAGATGGGCTGATGTGGTACACGAGGATGTTGAGATGAGTGAAGTTGCCGATGACTGGTATTCACGGTGTCAAGATCAGCCTCTGTGGAGAAGACTCGTGGAGAACACGACTGGGCAGCTGGAGGCAGTCGCCCTCCAACAAATGAAGGGCGGATGATCAACGCTTACAACAGCGAGTGGAACGTGGAGCGACTAAACGAAGCAAGTTGGCATGGTGAGGAGCACAGGTGGTGCATCTGCCAGTCATCTCAGTGAAACCATGGCACCTGGGGTTTTCCCGTGACCTGTCTTTGTGTGTAGGACGAGCCAACGAGAGCGCACCTGCAGGTACGGCTTCTTGAGTTTGGAAAAGTCGCTGAAGTAATCCTCAACCGTGGCACAGATGGTGTCCATGGCGCGAGAGCTCGAGACCCAGGCCCTGGTGAGCAGCTCCTGCAGCAGGGGCTGCATCACACGCGCGCACACGCGCTCGCTGTCAAGTACACGCGCACACACGCGCATTCACGCGCGCACACAAAGACAAGCGTGCGCACACAAAGACGAGCGTGCGCACTCGAGCAGCAGTTCCCGAATTTTCTAAATCCACGCGCTGTCACTGTCAAACCTCCAAACGATTACAGACCGCCGCGTACCAACAGTTTCCTTCAGAATGCAACCGACTCCGATCATGGGGTCTGCAGCTGCTCGACGCAGCACTTCCCACGGCCTGTTGGGAGCCGCTGTGCTTGAGAACATGCATGCCAGCACACGTACACACACACACACTGGAGAACGTACACACCTACAAATGATGCACACGTGCACGAATACACGCGCACGATAACCGCGTGCCTGCACGTACAAGCGCAGCGTCTCTGCCGCTCCGCTCGCACGGGCCGCTTCACAGCATCTACCACATCTCACCAGAGCTCACCGGATCTCACCAGATCTCACCGGACCATTGGTGAAGTGTGGTCACTCCGAGGGGCCCAGGTAGACGGAATGAGATGGGGCCCCGCGTCCAATTTCGCCCCTTCTCTTCGTAGCCCGGTGCTGGGCCCCTCGGGCCCCTCTGGGCCCCGGTGCCGTCGCACCGCCTGCGCACCGTCTGGTTTGTCGCCCCGGCGGGCCCCGCGGGAGCCTCACCTCGATGTCCAGCAACACCTCGTCGAGCAGATACTCGCAGGCGTCGGCCGCGATGCCGTCCAGCTGCGTCGTCAGGTCGGGCAACCGCGCCGGAACGGGGGCGGCCTCCTGGGAAGGGCCCTCCACCCCCGGGGCCCCGAATGTCGGCCGCTTCTCCAGGAGCTGCCTCATCGACTCCCTGCGATGACAAAGAGCCCCCGGGTCGCCTTGACAGACCGTCTGGGAGAGTCCAGACAAGTCGCGCCTTTGAAGGCCAGCATGGCGCACGAGCGGGTGGGTGGCCGGCGCTACGCCCTGTCACCTTTTTCTCCTAAGCGCCGATGAGTTGACGCGAGGGAGGCTCAGGAGCGTAAAACTAACTCGGTCACTGGAACCGTAGCGGCAGTGCGCCGACTGTTGCGCCATCACTCCGTGCGATGGACGCACGCACGAACACACTCCGTAGGGACGTCGGTCATATCCAGTTCCGCTTTGAGGATCGGAGTTGTGGACCCTTGGAGAAGAGTTGCTGAGTTCGACCTGGCCGTGTGCGGAGCGAAACGGACGCACACACTTGCTCACGCCACCTACTTGAAGGCAAGGCAGTTGTTGGTGGCGGCCGTCATGTATTGTACGTAGAAGGGCGGCAGCTGCCGGTTCTGCGCGTGCTCCTGCCGATATCCGCCCAGCACCGCGCGGTACCTGGAGGCGACGTGCGTGGATACGCGCACCGACACACACACACACCAACACACACACCAACTAACACACCGACACACACACACACCAACACACACACCAACACACACACACCAACACACCGACACACACACACCGACACACACACCGACACACACACACCAACACACACACCAACTAACAAACCGACACACACACCGACACACACACACCAACTAACACACACCAACTAACACACCGACAAACACACACACCAACTAACACACCAACACGCACACCGACACGCGCACCGACACACGGGCGGACACGCACGCAGTCGTGACACGCCGAGGCACAACCGCGGCAGATGGCACCGCCGGATCGAGACTCGCGGCCCCTCCTCCTCCTCACCTGCACAGGAAGGTCTGCACCTCCAGCAGGCCGATGGTCGTGGCTCGGCCTACGAGACGGGGACTCACCTGGGAGGCCACCTGAACGTTCTGCTCCAGCATCTGCGGCAGGGCAAGAGAACGGGAACAACGACCACGGGTCGTCACCATGCCGCCTGTTTATCCAAGAAGCAAATTGTTTCAGGGTTAGGGTCCTGCTAGGTTTTTATAGTTGTAGGCGATGATTTCAGATTTGGTCAACTCGTTTTTGAATGACGTCACGGCATATTAAACGTCCACTGCAACGTGATTAATATACCGCAGTATTAACCAGGGCCAGCTGCCGCATCGAACCGCGAGCTTCTGCAATGAGCAGCATATGCACTACCGCTGGGCCCTGACACTGCCTGGTTCGCCTGACAAGCATAACCCTCGCTGGCCCGGCACACGTGACCCTCGTTCACCTGGCACACGTGACCCTGCCTCACCCGCCACACCTGCCTCACCTGCCTCACGTGACCCTCGCCCACCACACGTGACCCTGCCTCACCTGCCACACGTGACCCTGCCTCACCCACCACACGTGACCCTGGCTCACCTGGCACACGTGACCCTGGCTCACCTGCCTCACGTGACCCTCGTTCACCTGGCACACGTGACCCTGCCTCACCCGCCACACGTGACCCTGCCTCACCCGCCACACGTGACTCTGGCTCACCTGCCTCACGTGACCCTGGCTCACCCGCCACACGTGACCCTGCCTCACCTGGCACACGTGACCCTGCCTCACCTGGCACACCTAGACCCTGCCTCACCCACCACACGTGACCCTGCCTCACCCGCCACACGTGACCCTGCCTCACCCGCCACATGTGACTCTGGCTCACCTGCCTCACGTGACCCAGGCTCACCTGCCACACGTGACCCTGCCTCACCTGGCACACGTGACCCTGCCTCACCTGGCACACGTGACCCTGCCTCACCTGGCACACGTGACCCTGGCTCACCTGGCACACGATGGCAGGCAGTGCGGTGTGGAAGTATCCGTGCTGGTCGGTGTCCGGCTCCTGGTTCCGCATCCAATCGCGACGCTCGGCCTCCAGCGCCTTGCCCAGCCACGTGCACACGTTACTCTGCGCACGCCGCACACGCGCGCATCACCGCACACGCGCGTCACCCCACTCCGCGTCCGCACCGCCGCATTTACATGCGGCTAAAACACCGCGATGGCATGCGGCGTTGCGCATTCACCGCTTGTTTCAGAGGTTCACGGTTCAAATCCAGCGGCTACCCTGGTTAATACTGCGGATGTAATAACCTTAAAACTACCACGCGCTGTCTGCTTCACAGTGAATGTTAAAGATCCCATGACACCATTCGCAAAAGAAGGCCGTTGTGTGCCGGCGTCAGGGTCCGATTTTTCCAAATTCGAAAAATTACAACGCAAATTACTCAATGGGTCTGCCCCGTAGCTTCCTGCCAGCGAGCCTTCCACAACTCACGCGATGGGCTCAAAGTACACCTCGTCTGGCACAAATGCGGGCGTGGTGCTGCCGTTTCGGCCTTAACAGCTTAACGGGAGCTCGCTAACAGCACTTGCCGCAACAGCCTGTGCAGGCTACGCGGGGGTCTTTGTCATCGCGTCGTGAGACACCTGGAGCGTGTGCAGGTACTTGTGCAACAGCGCCTCCACCTCCCCAGGCGACAGCAGCGGCGGCAGCTCCTCCACGGAGACCTCCGGGGCCAGGTCGGGGTGCCGCATCATCTCCTCGCTGCGGGCGGACACAACTCGGCGTCGTCGCAAACCTCCGACGCGTCCGCCATCGCGCCCTGCTCCCTCCGACCCCCGCCACGAGCCCCTCGATGGCGCGGTCGTGGCGCGCACGCACCTGGGGTAGGTGTGCAGCACCCAGGTGAGCAGCGACACGATCTCGTTGGCCTCCAGCTGCTCGGACACGATGTCTCGGAGGTGCGCGCCGAGCGCCCGGTGGTAGAATCTCAGCGTCGCGGAGAAGATGTTGTACTTGGGCGGGAAGCAGTGGGCCATCAGCGTCTTCACCACCACCAGATCCTGCGCTCCACCGGCATTCACCGTTGGCGACCGCCGGCGACCACGCGCTGGAAGGGGGCGGCGTGCGGGGCGCGGCGTGCGGGGCGCGGTATGCGGGTCGCGGCGCTCACCTCGAGGATGCGGCGCTGCAGCGTGTCGAGGTGCCGCGCCAGCCACAGGCTGTCGTCGTCCCGCGTGTCCGTCTGGCCGCTCTCCACGCGCGTGCTCACCGTCTGCTGCAGCACCTCCATGCAGCGGCGCCGCAGCTCCTTGGGCCGCCCCGGGGCGACGAAGCCGGAGCTCTGCCGCCGCTCGTCCGCGAGCGCGTCCAGCCCCTCCTCGCGCTCGATGACCCGAAGCGCCGACACCAGCATGGCCGGGTCGCGCCGCGCCGTGCCGAGGCCACGCTGCACCACGAGCCAGAGCTGCTTGGCGAGTTCCCCTGCGCGGTGGTGGGGGCGCGCACGTGAGGGGGGGGGGGGGGGCGCGTGTCGCGGTCAGCGCGGAGAGGAGGGGTGGGGCGCTCCGCGTGGCCGGTGCTGTGGTCGTCGCCTGATAAACATTCGGGACAATGGATGTTGAGTCCCGTTCAGAATCTGGAGACTGGAGGACACCGATGAGCTACGCGGCTCTTTCTCACAGATGTCTCCGAGGCCACGGCCGGGCCGAGATGACCGGACGACTTCACGACGCGAGAACACGAGCGAGCGATGCGACGGCATCGCCGCTTCCAAAAGGTTGCGCCGCCCGCGCCACGCCGCCCTCGCCGCCCCGAGTCCGTACCGGCGAGGGACTCGGCGCAGGAGAAGTACTCGCGGATCAGGTGCAGGTTGGCGGCGTTGCCCGCGTCCTTGAGGTGCTGGCGCAGCAGCAGGCTGTCCCGCGAGTGCTCGAGCTCCATGAGGTTCTTGTGTGCGGCCAGGAGCTCCCCCTGCTCGATCCAGTCGCGCGTCTCCTGCTCCAGCTCGCGCACTGCGCACGGCAGGGACACGCGGGATAAGCACGTGGCACACACACACACGTGGCACACACACACACGTGTCACACACACACGTGTCACACACACACGTGTCACACACACACGCGTCACACACACACGCGTCACACACGTATATCACACACACGTATATCACACACACGGAACACCGACACGCACGTGTCACATATACACGTAGCTATATGTCACACATAACACACATGTATGTATGTTAAACTTCGTTCGCACCGTACGTAGCCAACCGTGATAATCGTAGGTGCGGAGGAAGGACGACACGTGTCACATCAACACCTACACGTGTCGCAAACGCACGTGGCCAATGACGCACGTGGACGACGACTCCACACAAACGCGCGGCTGCTGCAGCCGCAAGGAACGAGGCAACTGCGGGAGTCTGGAGGCCCTGGACACACGCGGGGGTCGCGGGGGTCGTGGGGGCAGCGCGGAGCGGACTCCGTGCTTCCAACACGAACCGGGGCGGGGGGAACCGCGGGTGTGGGGGTGGGGGCCGCGACCCGGGGCCCACGCAGGAGGCGTCCCTGCAAGTGGCACGAAGCGGCCTCGCCCCCCTCTCACTGCAGCCCGCCCCGTCTCATCCCCGTGTCCCCACGATCTCAGCCCGGCGGCACCTGCCATGTCGGTGCGTGAGCTGGTGGTGCCTGTCGGCCGCGTCCTCTGTGTCGCGGGGAGGGATGGCGTCTGAGTTGGCGGCACTGTTCGGGTCGTGTGGCGTCACCGTGCAGTGGGCTGGGGTAGGGGGTCTCGTCGCGGTCAGAACCGTGCCGTGTGCGTGGGTCACGTCGCCGTGTGCGTGGGTCCACGTGGCCGTGTGCGTGGGTCCGCGTTGCTCGCGTCAGCCAAAGCGGGGGAAGCTCGGGCGAGTGTCAGGGCCCCCCGTGCCGCTGCTACTGCCGCTGCTGCTGCTGCTGCTGGCGGGGCCGCACCGCTCATGATGATGCGCGTGTGCTCCACGGCGGCCGCCAGCTGCCCGTGCTCGTCCGCCAGGCCGCGCAGGTCGCCCAGCGGCTCGAGGGCCGCGAGTCCCGCCTCGCGCTCGGCGCGCACCCCGCGCAGGGCGCGCCCCGTCTCGCGGGCGCGCGCCAGCGCCCCGTGCAGCTGCGACAGGCCCAGCCGCACCCCCTCCAGCTGCGACTGCAGCGCGCTCTGCGGGGCGGCACCGGGGAGGGGGGAGGGGCCCCCCTCTGTGAGCGGGGAGTGGCGCTCAGGAGACGACGGCGGCGCCGCTCGCCATCGCGTCCCCGAGCAGAGCAGAGCCCGCGGTGGCTTCACGCGCCATCTCGGAGATGGCGCTTCACGCGCCATCTCCGAGGCCGACGTCGTACCCGACGAGGGAATCGCGCACCGCCTCGACGCATGCCGATGTCGACACCTCCTGGCCCTATTTGTGTGTCTCTGCATGCACAACGCGGGCATTGGGTCAATACAAACTCTGGCTAGGCTTCGACACACGGGATCTCACCGGTTGAGTCAAGAGTCGAACGCGCTCCAGTGTCTGCCCGTATAAAACCAATATGCTGCGGTGGGATGCGGGCCCGACTGGTCGTCTGGGCTGTCGAGAACAATTCCTCTATTCACTGGGGAGAGATAAACACGGGGAGTCGGCGGTTGTCTGCTGTTCCTCGTATTCTCCACATCGACGCGAGTGATTGTGTCGTCTGCTTCACGAACATTCTACATTTAAACCCCGATTGTACAGCGCGGGGCCAGGCCTCTATCCCCGCCCCCGTCTTTATGATTCCCTTTAACGCAGTTCATGAGCACAGGGCTCAGGTGCCCAAAAACGTCAAGCGGCCGGAAACAACCAACACTGGCAAGTTGCAATTGATACGAGTTGACACGTGAATGTAGCAGCAAGATTACTGCAACAACTTGGGAGACGAGACGATGATGGAAGAGCCAATTCCCAAGTGGAGCAGTGCAAGGGAAGAGGCAGAAAGAGAAGCAGCCTCCCCGCAGTGCGGCGAGAGTGAGGCTGTTGTTGTGGCCTGTGCGGCGAGTGGGCGAGTGTGGGCGCGTGAGTGGCTGTGTGAGTGGCTGTGTGAGTGGCTGAGTGAGTGGCTGTGTGAGTGGCTGAGTGAGTGGCTGTGTGAGTGGCTGAGTGAGTGGCTGTGTGAGTGGCTGTGTGAGTGGCTGAGTGAGTGGCTGTGTGAGTGGCTGTGTGAGTGGCTGTGTGAGTGGCTGTGTGAGTGGCTGTGTGAGTGGCTGAGTGAGTGGCTGAGTGAGTGGCTGTGTGAGTGGCTGAGTGAGTGGCTGTGTGAGTGGCTGAGTGAGTGGCTGTGTGAGTGGCTGTGTGAGTGGCTGAGTGAGTGGCTGAGTGAGTGGCTGTGTGAGTGGCTGTGTGAGTGGCTGAGTGAGTGGCTGAGTGAGTGGCTGTGTGAGTGGCTGTGTGAGTGGCTGAGTGAGTGGCTGTGTGAGTGGCTGTGTGAGTGGCTGAGTGAGTGGCTGTGTGAGTGGCTGTGTGAGTGGCTGTGTGAGTGGCTGTGTGAGTGGCTGTGTGAGTGGCTGAGTGAGTGGCTGAGTGAGTGGCTGAGTGAGTGGCTGTGTGAGTGGCTGAGTGAGTGGCTGTGTGAGTGGCTGTGTGAGTGGCTGAGTGAGTGGCTGAGTGAGTGGCTGTGTGAGTGGCTGTGTGAGTGGCTGAGTGAGTGGCTGTGTGAGTGGCTGCGTGAGTGGCTGCGTGAGTGGCTGCGTGAGTGGCTGAGTGAGTGGCTGAGTGAGTGGCTGTGTGAGTGGCTGTGTGAGTGGCTGTGTGAGTGGCTGTGTGAGTGGCTGAGTGAGTGGCTGAGTGAGTGGCTGTGTGAGTGGCTGTGTGAGTGGCTGAGTGAGTGGCTGAGTGAGTGGCTGTGTGAGTGGCTGAGTGAGTGGCTGAGTGAGTGGCTGTGTGAGTGGCTGTGTGAGTGGCTGTGTGAGTGGCTGAGTGAGTGGCTGTGTGAGTGGCTGAGTGAGTGGCTGAGTGAGTGGCTGTGTGAGTGGCTGAGTGAGTGGCTGTGTGGCTGTGTGAGTGGCTGTGTGAGTGGCTGAGTGAGTGGCTGTGTGAGTGGCTGTGTGAGTGGCTGTGTGAGTGGCTGAGTGAGTGGCTGTGTGAGTGGCTGTGTGAGTGGCTGTGTGAGTGGCTGTGTGAGTGGCTGAGTGAGTGGCTGTGTGAGTGGCTGAGTGAGTGGCTGTGTGAGTGGCTGTGTGAGTGGCTGTGTGAGTGGCTGAGTGAGTGGCTGTGTGAGTGGCTGTGTGAGTGGCTGTGTGAGTGGCTGAGTGAGTGGCTGTGTGAGTGGCTGAGTGGCTGTGACATGCTGCAGTGCGGTGGTTGAACGCGACGTGGATGAGACGAAACACTCGGCCCGGTGCCGACCGACACGGGCGGAGGGGCTCGCCGAGCGGAGCGCGGGCACCTTGAGGCGCGTCTCGAGCGAGGCGGTGGTCCGCGCCTCCCGCTTGCGGTACTGCTCCACGCGCTCCAGCTGCTCCGGGTACTGCAGCATGAGCGACACGCGCTTGAGCGCCGTGCCCAGCGCCAGCCGCTCCGTCTCCTGCTGCGTGGCGCGCACGTGGCCCAACATCCCCGCGCACGCGGCCCCCCGGCTCGCCGTCTCCCTGGGCAGTCGGGCTGGCTGCTGCTCCCGCAGCTGGAGGGATTCACGCTGCGTGTGTTGTTTGCTCCCCCACGCGGGGGCGATGCCGCTACTTCGGTCCCGCTGGAGAAATCGCTCCACCGCCGCGCTGTGCTTCTCTCAACAGCGATTCCTTTGTGCGGAGAAGGGGCCACGCGCGCCTCCCCCCGCCCTTCCTCGACACGGCCGCCCCTACAGGCTACGGCCCCTACAGGCTACGGCCCCTCCCCCCTTCCACGCAGCCCCGAGATTTGTCCCTGGAGCTGAGGCCGCTGTCCCTGGTGCTGAAGTCGCTGTCCCTGGTGCTGAGGTCCTAATCGAGAGCGATGGCGCAGAGGTCGCCCCGCTGGTGAACAGCGCGAGGGGTTGCACGCGGTGGCGCAATGCACGCGCCGTAATTGATGACGGCACGGGTCGCAAAGACCATTGCGTGACTGAAAAGAACTACGTCATCGCGGCCCTAACAGATTCCTCCACGAGAGGGCGATGGAACGGACGAGACTTGACGGCGGGCGGGAGAGAGCATCCCAAGGGCACGGGATGTGTCCCGTGCGAACACAGCGTGCCGGTTGCATCGGGTAAACACGGGGCAGTGGCTGTGTGCGCTCATTCGCCCGTTTTCGAGGCCTCTGGCTGAAGAGCTCGGGGCGAGCGGACGCTTGTGCCGAGACTGCGCGAAATCGGCACCGCTCAGCCCATATCGCGCGTAGCGAGCTCGTAGCGAGCTCGTAGCGAGCTCGTTGCCAGCTCGTTGCCAGCTCGTTGCCAGCTCGTAGCGAGCTCGTAGCGAGCTCGTTGCGAGCTCGTTGCGAGCTCGTAGCGAGCTCGTAGCGAGCTCGTTGCGAGCGCGTAGCGAGCTCGTTGCGAGCTCGTAGCGAGCTCGTTGCGAGCGCACCGTGCAGGCACAGGAGGAGAGGCTGCACGGAGAACTGGAATTCCGAGGGCGCAGCGACTCTGGCGCGTCATTGGTTGGGGGGATAGGAGGTGGGACTTGTAGGCAGAGCCCAGATGGAGCGTGTTTGCTAATTGTTGCAAAGGTTCACGGTTCGATTCTGCAAGGCTGCCCTGGTTAATACCGCGGTCTATTAAACTTACGCGACCTTAAAGAACCAGTGACATCATTAAAAGTGTTGGTCATTGTGTCGGCGTCATGTTCCAAATGTGAAAAATAAACACCGCAAATTACTCATTTAGGAAACAGAAATCGTCATCCCCTACTGCGAAAATGTGCAAAGATCCCCCTGAAAAAGAGTATTGAGACTCAATAAGGCTTTCCTGGGTAAACATGCGGAACAATAATCCTGCAGCAACAGCTGGGGTGCAATTGCTGTCAAGAATACGTCTGCATAGTCAGGTGGTGCACACCTCACCTCCCGCTACCCTGATCGCGTGGTGGAAGGTCGACATTCCTATAGCAGGGCCGAATCTAACCACTGTTGATTTCCTCACAACGCGGTACTCGTTTTATCGACCCTAGAGGGATGACGATGTGCCGAGTCATCCCCCAACCAGGATTTTAACTCGCAACCTTCTGCCGGCGTGCCGCTCGCTCTCGAGCCGGGCCCCGTGGCCGGCGTGCCGCCGGCTCGCGGGCCCCGTGGCCGGCGAGCCGCTCGTGAGCCGCCCAGGGCTGGGGGGAGGAGTCGTCGCCGCACGGCTCGGAGCGAGCTGCACACGGAGTCGGTGGCACAGCGGCGCTCAAAATGTTTAATCGTCGCCTCGAGCTGCCGCACGCGCTGCACCGGCAGCGCAGAGAACGAGACACGGCGTGACGTCAGTTCGCGTGACGTCAGTTCGCTTCGGGTTTCCAAACGTCATCAGCGTGCCTGCTTCAACAGCGTGCATACTGCATATCATGGCATTTAGCTTCTATACACGGTATATCAAATACTTTTTTTACTTTGCACAATCTCAAATCAAGTGTAAGTGCATCCTTCATATGAGTGTACACACATAAATAATTGTCATCTACACTGCTTTTCTAAGAATTTGTCGTTCACATCATTAAGGCGATGACATTAAACATTCGCGACACAAACTATATTCACTTGACAGGCTCGCTGGCTTCATCCTCTCGACAGGAATCCTGAGCACATCCACCCCAGTGACCCACATCCACCACAGTCACCCACATCCACCACAGTCACCCACATCCACCACAGTGACCCACATCCACCACAGTCACCCCACATCCACCACAGTCACCCACATCCACCACAGTCACCCACATCCACCACAGTCACCCACATCCACCACAGTCACCCACATCCACCACAGTCACCCACATCCACCACAGTCACCCACATCCACCACAGTCACCCACATCCACCACACCACATCCACCACAGTCACCCACATCCACCACACCACATCACATCCACCACAGTCACCTCACATCCACCACAGTCACCATCCAACTTGGTTACTCTCCACCCAATGTCCACCCAGACACCCCGCATACATCCAACATTCACCTCGGTCACCACACATTGAGCCTCGTCACGCCACGTCCACCCTGGTCACCCCGTGGGCTGGAAATGGTCCCATGGGTCCACGTGCGGTCGTAAAGCAAATGTCAGTCACAAGCAGCAGCAGCAGCAATGGAAACACTCACAGCTCAGGAAAGCCTCGTCTCAGGCCCATGAGTCAAATCAACACGAATCTAAAGTTACATTGAAAAGGCACCATGATGGTTACTGGCTCTGCAGCAGAGGGACGACGGCCGAGTGGTGGGAAGCCGGGGGCCTCCGATGCAGGCGCTGCCAAAGCGAGCGGCTCGCGCCGCACGGCAGCGTTCAGTCTTTATTGTGAACGCGCCGCACGCTCCTCGTCATCTCCGGGTGTCGGCGAGGCGAGGGGACGAGGGGCGGCAGGGGGCGCTCAGGCGCTGCTCCTGACGTCCTCCGCCTTGCCGCGGGGAAAGTCGGTGAAGAACTCGGCCCAGACGGGGCAGTGGTCGGAGACGAAGCCCCCCCAGGCCCAGCCGTCGGGGATCCACGCGCTGCTCAGCCCCGCACGCACCACCGCGCTCCCTCCTGCGGGGAACAGCGTCGCACGCGCTCCGAACCCTGCCAGGTGCATCGAGGGGGGAACCGAGCGCCGCATCCCAGATTTGAAAGCGGTAGGAGTCCAACCTCGGCTAGTGTTGTGCCGCGTGTAGCATCAGGGGATAATAATCGTTGGGTGTTCGAGGTGATGGCACAGAACAAAACACCGAGCTTCTGCTGTGGCAGCCAATCGAACACCGCGATCGAGTCGAGGTCACGAGTCGTCGGGATGGCGCGCGCGCTCTCTCTCTCTCCACCTGTGTGCCGCTCCTTGGCAGACGAGCTGACCCACACGCCGTCCGCGGCGCGGCTGCCTCCGGGCTTCTCCTTGCCGATGTCCGTGAATGACTCTGGGGGCAGCGCGCTCTGCAGCCCCCCGAGCGCCGAGGCGGCTTGCGGCCCCAATCCCCCGAGCACCAGCACGGACCATCCGCCTGCGACGCGCAAACCCGGTGGGTGGTCGGAGCGCACGCGGCCGGCAACTCCACGCTTCCTCCCGTCACGTCTACCGGCGGTCTTCTTATCCCCACGGTAACTCCACTAATCTGCTCGGCACAACAACTTCTCGTGAGCCATCATGGAACGGCTGCGTAACTCCTCTCGACAAAGAGGCATTGAGAAAGCCTCGTTTGCTTTTCTGCACCAAAGCCTTCGCCTCTGACTGTGAACAATTATTATCCCTGCTGCTGCTACACGCAACATAATACCGGCCGAGGTTGGACTTCCCCTGCTGTCAAATCTGGGGTGCAGTGCCCAGTCCCTGCCTCGCTGCACCTAACAGGGTTCAGAGTCATTGGTGATCCGGCACTCACCGATTCACTCCACTCAATCGCTCACCGGCTGTCAGTTGCCCGCTTGTCCCTCTTCTGTCGCTACGAGCATTGTTACTGTTCAATGAACTTCACCCATGATGCCTCTCCTACCCATGTTGAGCTCTACCACACGGTCTCATTCACACTGTTTACACTGCCGATTAGCATGGTTGGCTACGTACGGTGCGAGAGAAGTTCAACATACATACAACCACTGCACTGCAGGTCCAAATCACACACTCTCTCATTCACCCACTCGCCCACTCATATCCTCTTCACTCACCCACTCACCCAATCACCCACTCATTTTCCCCTCACTCACCCACTCACTCACCCACCCACCCACTCACTCACCACACTGCAGGTTACCTCACTTATTGTTCTGCTTCTTCCCTCACAATGCTCCACTCTGGAATTCCCTCCTCCCATCGTCTCTTCTCCCCCAAGCTCCTACAACAATAACTTTGCTCTATTCAAGAGTCGTCTTACACCCTTGCATATTGCGACTTTGAGAGTTCCGTTCAGGGCTTACGCTCAGAAAGTGCGTTCTGTAAGGACAACACGCGTGACGGCGCTTCGCCCGCGAGTGCTGCCGGGCACCTTTGACGTCGTCGCTCTCCGGGGGCGGCAGGGCGGGGCCGAGGGGGGGCAGCCGCACGGCGGTGCCCTCGTCCGCCGCGGGCCGCGCGTGAACGTTCACCGCCGTGAACGCAAAGGCCCCGACCTGCACAGGGAGACGTGCGCGGTCACACGGCCCGGATCCGAGAGATGCGTCTCTACGGCCGCGCGTGTCGTCTCGGGCGGCGGCGATGGAGGCCGCGGGCGCTACGGGTGGCCGCACCTTGAATTGTCGGACGAGCAGCGGCGCGCGAGAGCCGGCGCCGGTGCCGTTGCTGGGGATGATGCCGGCGCAGTCGCGGGGTGCAGGAAGGGGCAGCAGCTCCACGCCAGCCGCCCGGTTCCACAGGAAGCCCAGGATCTCCTGTGCGCCCAGAACCACGGCGTCGTTAACACGACTCCTCCGCCTCCTCCACTCGCACGACATCCCTTCCTCTCGCGTCGCCTGCTTACGCAACGTTACATTTACGTGTAAACCTTCTGGATCAAGACCTCATGAAGTTCCTTACGATCGGTCTCCACAATTACTGCCAGACACAACAACCAAGACGTGAACATTGGCGACACAAAACACAACCATACACCAGGCACAACTCTCGTAGTGCCGGTTCACACACCACCTAAACGACAACCCCTCCACAGATGGAAGCTGCCGCTGCTCCAATCCAAGCGCCGTTGTCTGGCTAGACGGAGCTGGCACGGGGCGCGTGTTGGGAGACAGCACGTTGCCTTTTACAGCATGGTGCAAGCGACTGTGTGGACCCAAGTGTGGCCACGTTCGTGTGTGTGCGTGTGTGCGTGTGTGCGTGTGTGCGTGTGTGCGTGTGTGGAGAGTGGCACAGTAGGGGGCACAGGTGGTGCATCAGCCAGTCATCTCGGTCAGTCGACCCGTGGCACCTGGGTCTGCCCCGTGACCTCCTGCCAGCGGGCGTTCGGATACTTCACGTGGCCTCAACGTGCACAGAGCCTGGCACGAGCGTCATGGTGATGTCACTGCTACTTAGTGGCGAATGGCGGTTGTTGTTGTTGGAGAGTGGCAGTATCGTGGTTAGTCAATTTAACACGTAGGCCCAAAAACCTATATTATCGCGGTTAGTGTTTGCACACGGCTAGTGCCAACCCCTCCTATGCCATACCGGCCGTCGTAGGGCCATGCTAACAGCACTTGCCCGAACAGTCTGTTAAAGGCTACACGGGGGATTTTTGTGTGGGTGCGTATGCGAGTGGTGGACGCCGCTCACTCTGCCGCCGTCCGCCTGCCGCTCTGCGGAGGTCACGCACTCCCAGTCCCCGTGCTGCCCCGCC